CTCTGGGGCAGCCATAACAGGAGCATTAGATAGAAATGACTTAATGGCCAAAAAAGCTTCTTGACATTTATCTGACCATTCAAACTCAACACCCTTTTTCAATAATGCAGTAAGAGGTTCAGCAATAGCTGAAAAGTTTTGACAGAACCGCCTATAGTAACCAGCCATCCCAAGGAACTTTTTGATTTCTTTACAATTTTTGGGAGGTGGTAACCTTACAATAGCATCTACTTTAGCTTCAATGGGCCGAACTTGGTTCGTTCCCACTTGATAACCCAAATAGGTAATTGAAGCTTTACAAAACTTGCATAAAAGGTGATTTCTGTAAAGGTTTACAGTAGAATTAACTTCAGACAATTTATGGCTTTCCTCTGTGGACAAATGCATAAGGTGGACATTCAAATTATCTAAAAAGGAAGAATTTACCAATTTTGGGGGTTTCAATTTATCATGTATCACATCATCAGAAACATTTGAACATACAGGTAAAGTAATTTTAGCTGTGGAATGAACATTGTTACAATTATCATAATACTTTTTCAGTGAGTTAACATGATACACTGTCTGTTTCTTTCTTCTGTCGGGCGTATTGACAACATAGTTCAAATCACTTAATTTTGAATGCACAGTAAAGGGTCCACAATATCTCAAGGATAACGCATTGTTCAGATTAGGCATTAGCACAAGAACTTTGTCGCCTGGATTGAATGTTCGTTTACAAGAACTCTTATCATACAGTCCTTTCATTCTCACTTGGGCCTTTCTTAAGTTCTTGTGAGCCATTTCGCACACGGCTTTCAGTCGAACGTGAAAATCGTCAAAGTTTTCCACAGGATGATCACCGGTACCTGTCCAACGTTCGTGTATCAGCTTCAGGGGACCACGGACAGAATGTCCAAACACAAGTTGAAAAGGCGAGTAGCCTAAAGAGTCCTGGACACAGTCCCTCGCGGCGAAAATAATCCAAGGAACAGTCTCATCCCATTGGGTGTTACTATTAGCGAATGTTCTTAGCATGGTTTTGAGGGTTTGGTGGAACCTCTCAAGTACGCCTTGAGACTGAGGGTGGTAGGCTGAGCTGGTGATGTGGGTAACGCCTAGCTTGGCTAGTGCTTCCTGAAAATGGTGACTGGTGAAGTTGCTGCCTTGATCTGTTTGCACGATTCTAGGTAATCCAAAGGTAGTGAAGAACCGGGTCATGGCTCTGACTACAGTCTTAGCCTTAATGTTCCGTAAGGGAATCGCCTCGGGAAAACGGGTACTTGAACACATAAAGGTAAGTAGGTACTCGTTGCCCGCCTTGGTTTTAGGCAAGGGACCTACACAGTCCATGACGATTTTAGAAAAAGGTTCTTCTAATACAGGAATCGGACTCAAAGGGGCCTTAGGAATTGTCTGGTTTGGCTTTCCGGCCAACTGACAGTTCGTGCAACTTCTGCAGTAACGCGACACATCTTTTCTCATTTTGGGCCAAAAGAACAGCTCTTTGATCTTCGCCGTCGTTTTAGTGACTCCTGGGTGCGCTGACATTGGATGGTCATGTGCTAGTTTAAGTATTTCATGCCGATAAGGTGGAGGGACCCACAGCTGGTTTTTACCCAACCATGGTTCGGCTGGTGAGGCATTCACTGGTATAGCGCGACGAAAGAAGAGGCCGTTCTCGGAGAAATATTCTCCATCGTCAGATGATAGAGATTTTTCGACCGTTGCTTTGAGTTCCGCGTCGACTTGTTGAGCTTTAATGATGTCTTCCTGAGATATCCTCAGGGGTAAGCCCAGACTTGTGTTCTCTGGAAGCATAGACTCCAGTTTGGGAGTCGAATTTCTTGACGATGATGGTAGGTGTGGTTCAGACGTTATGTCAGCCAATTGTTTGGTCTGGCTTCTTGTCACCGCACATGCAGGATACAGTTCATAATCATTATCTGGAACTGTTGACAAAGGGTCTGAAACCGTACAGGGGTATACTTTGCTTCCCGCAAGGTCATTCCCTAGAAGTAGGTGTACTCCTGGGACAGGAATACTATCTATCACACCTAAAATGACTTCACCTTCGACGAGATGATGTTTCAGGGCAAACTTGTGTAGAGGGACGACAGTAGATTTTGTCCCCACTCCCTGGATAATGGAAATCCTTCCGTTGTTCGTCTCTGGTGTAATGTCCATTGAACTTTTCAAAAGAAGTGAATGTGACGCTCCTGTGTCTCTTAGGACGGTGATATTCCGCTGAGACAACGGATCACCTGGTTTGCTAATGATGGCTTCGGCAATAAAAGATGAAAAGTTAACTTTTCTCGATCCCTCGAGATCGGTAGACTCGGAAGAAACTGGATGGTGGCGAGAACAGTCAAAATGTGACTGCACATAATGCGTGGAAATTTGACTGCCTTCTTGCGGACACTTAGGGTTAGCGTCCCTTGGAATTCTAGAGTTCATATTTGAACCGGCAGCTTGAGGGGATAGAGCATAGTGCGCAGAAGTACGCACCACCTCTCTGTTATATTGACGACGTTTGTAACAGTCCTTGACAAGATGACCAGGTCTTTTGCAGAACTGGCATACTGCTCGACGATTGAGAGTTGATCTTGGATTCTCTCTGGACTGTAATGCCTTCACGTGTTGGCCAACAGGAGGATTGCTGCCAAAAAGGGGAAGCACGGGGTTGAGGCGGTTTCCTGACACTGGTGGTTTCTTATGCACCAACATATATGTGTCAGCCGACTCAGCAGCCTTCTGGACGTCAATTATCTTGTTATCCAGTATGTGTAGTCGTATCTCTTCAGGCAGGGACGTTAGGAATTCTTCCCTTAGGATAAGTGACCTGAGTTTCTCAAACTCAGAAACTTCCTCAGAGTGTAGCCACCTTGAGAATATTTTCTCCTTTTCAAAGAGAAATTCCACATATGATTGAGTGGGTAACTTGCGGAGTGTTCGGAATTTTGTCCGATAGGCCTCGGGCGTCAGTGCGTAGACCTTCAAAATGGCAGTCTTGACCAAACTATAGTTATTTTGAACGTCGTGAGAGAGTGCCTGGTATGTTTTTGCAGCTTTCCCAGTAAGGACCGAGCTCAATAAAGCAGTAATGGAAGTTTCGGGCCATTCACATGTCTTCGCTAAACTCTCAAATGAGTTAAAGAAAACGACCAAATCTGTTTCATCAAATTTAGGAACTAATTTCCCAAATTTGGCAATCACTTGCCCCACCGACAACTTTTTTGGATCTACCAGAGAAGTGACATCACTAACTTGACCAAACTCTAATTCCAACCTCCTCTTATCTAAAGCAATTTTAGCCTCTAACTCCTGTTTCTCTAAAGCAACTTTCTCCTTCTCTAAAGCACTTTTAGTTTCAAACTCCTTTTCTTTTAAAGCCTTCTCTAAAGCAACTTTCTCCTTCTCTAAAGCAATTCTAGCTTCTAATTCTACCTTCTCTAGAGTTTTCTCCTCGCGGAGTAACACATCCGCCAACAAACTTTCATCAAATACACCTTCATTAATAAAATGAACAACAATTTTATCTCTCAACACTTCTGACTTCTGCGTAACAGAATAATCCAATTTCAATTCCTTAACAACACTAACCAAAACTTTTCTACTCAACTTTTCTACATCTTCAACAGTGGGATTAGCCAAAAAAGATTCCATTTCACTAACTTTCAAAATCACAACAAACCTAGATGCACTAACTTAACACGGTGCGTTGGGCCGTGTACTTGACCTCTTCAATCTAGGACGTGGCACGTCTGACAATTGACCTAGATAATTCTATGCTTGCGCGCGTTGTAAGAACACGGCGCTACACTGGATAAGAAAAACAACTAAATCAAACTAAACTTAGTGCTTACTGATATAACCAACAACTGGAACGACAGATTAAATCTCGGCGAGCCCCCACTTTGTAACGTTTACCTATCTATCAGCCAGATAGAAGGTGAACGTCCCCGGATTCTTTTTTCGGGGTTATATGCAAATGCCTTACAGCCTAAATGGATGAACACTAACACAATGACACACTAGGGCTCGAATTCGATGTCTAGGGAAAACTAGTGATACTATTGAAATTAACACTCATCCAATCTGCATACAACCTTTAATAAGCGAACACAGTTGTGGCAGAACACAAGGTTAAACTAGATAAAATATTTAATGTATAAAATATCAAAACCCAACTTACAAAATGTAAGAAAAAACACTATCACAGATTTCTACACTGTCTAAAAATAGCCACAGGCCACACAACACTGCTATAGCTTCAAGAATTACTTGGCGACAAGTAATATTATACTAGAAGACTAAATCAACTTAAGAAAGCATAGCACACACAGGACTTAAGTTCTCTCACGTTCAAATGGTCAGAATCTATTGCCGGACAATATGGACGGCAATGGTCTTAATAGACCGTTTGATCAAGGTAGACGGCCTGATCAAGGTAAACTGCCACGTGTGGCGAGCGTGCGGTGCAGTTAAAGACTTCTGCCACAGGGGAGGTCATCCTCAACTCATGTAGCCATTGGTTGGGAGGGTCATATGATCAGAATCATTCAATCAGATCTTAATGGAAAATTTCTACGTCTTAGACACCCTTGGTAAGACAGTGGAAAAACCCCAGGAGTTACACCATCACTCCCTATAAGGTATTATACAATGTCAAAATAAAAATGGAACCTGACTCGACCTAAGTAGGTCACACTCCCTTCATCTCTCTCCCTCCCCCTCTCTCTCTTCATCTTCCCCCTCCCTCTCTCTCTTCATCTCCCCCCTCCCTCTCTCTCTTCATCTCTCTCCATCTCTCTCCATACCCTATTCAATTCCCAGTCTCTCTCTTCATCTCTTTTCATCCATCTCTTCCCCCTCCCTCTATCCCTACATCTCCTCTCCCACCAACTCATTCTCCCTCAGTTCTCCCCCCCTCTCCCTCCTCCTGTCTTTATTACCCTATGCACCACGCACCTCCATACAAACGTGAGTACTTACAAATATATTTCTTTTCTCTCCCACAGAGACCTGAGCAAGACAAAAATTCGCAGCTTGAATGTCTCAGACCTGGCGCACATGCCGAACCTTCTGGAGCTGTGAGTACACATTTTGTTTCATCACACTGACACCACTTCACGTGCACGCATTTTAAAATCATTCTTTACACACACACACAAAATTGTCTTTGTTTCGTTTAGTATTTTATCATATTTACTGCGATAACATAAACATTTCAAATGCTCGCGTAGTTTTTTTAAAATAAATTCCCACGGATTGAAAAATGTGAAGAATTTGGGTCGATTTTGTAACAAATGCTATTGATGCTTCTTCCAAAAATCTTTATCTTTTCTGTTATCTTTAACTTAGTTTTAATTGATACCTACACTTTGCCAAGTTGCTGATGCAGAAATAAAGAGAAACATAAAATAGCATGCATTATAATATAGCTAAGTTTAATATGAATTTTAACTGCGTTATATATATATATATATATATATATATATATATATATATATATATATATATATATATATATATATATATATATATATATATATATATATATATATATATATATATATATATATATATATATATATATATATATATGCTTATTCCGAAGGTCAATTAGGCCTTATTGCTGTATCTTTTATTAAGGGTAAGGTTTCGTTGGCTACATAAATATATGGGTTAAGCCAAGTAACGAAATAAGTAAGCGGCTTTCTTTTAGCGACCCCCCCCCCCCCCCGTTGAATGTTTATTTGGCACTCTCCCCGTGGGGATGTATTTTCTTTCAGCATTGTCCAGTCTGGGCCACCGGATCCGCCCCTGAGGATTATGTAAACAAACACTAGGCCAACGTCGTTATCTCATCATAGTCTTTGCTCAGACGTACACTAGCTTTTTAGCCTGCACTGGTGGTGATAGTAATCTGGGGGGGGGGGATGCTTTTGTGAGGAAGATGTTATGGTGTCATCTATCGTCATAGTACATTCAAGTAGCGGCCTCCAGACCGGGGAATGTATGCGAGTGCTAGAAAATGCCATGAAAAATTAAACAACAGTGTACAATATATTTAAAAAAAACACATGCAGTATGCAATATATAACTTTAAAAAATGTAGATATAAGTAATCACTGTGTTTGTCATAAAAATAAACTTTTATCCCCGGATACCCAATATTTTTTTTAAAAAAGCCCACTATAATACGGACTTATCGCCAATTAGCAGAGGCTCGAACTAAATAGAATGTGTATGGAAATTATATACTTTTACAACAACTTTGCACCAACCAATAACTTTACATTTGCTAATGTCTTTACATACAGAAACAACTTAACATTCACCAACGTTTTAACATCCACCAAAATCTTTACATCCATCTAAAATTTGCATCCACCCAGTGGCGTAGCGAGGTCGGGTATCACCCGGTGCGGCACTTAATGGTGTCACCCCCCAGAGGCGTAGCGACCCTTCCCGGGGACAAATTTTCGATTTACACCCCACCCCCCTCAAGTTTTCGATTTGCACCCTCCCCCCTCAAGTTTTCGATTTGCACCCTCCTCAAACTTTCGATTTGCACCCCCCTCAAGTTTTCAATTTGCACCCCCCCCCCCCTCAAACTTTCGATTTGCACCCCCCCCCCCCTCAAGTTTTTCTCTATATATTTTGCTATTTTTTGCCTTGGTGTCACCCCCCTAAATGGTGTCACCCGGTGCGGTCCGCACCCCCCCGCCCCCCCCCCCCCCTCGCTACGCCTCTGCATCCACCAACTACTTTACATTCACCAACATTACATCCACTAGCTTTACACCTACCAACTTTACACCTACCAACTTTACACCTACCAACTTTACACCTACCAACTTTACACCTACCAACTTTACACCTACCAACTTTACATCCACCAACTTTACATCCTCAACAATTTATGTCCACCAAACTCACTTATTTACACATAAATGTCCTTATCATTTCTACCTTAAATTCCATTCTCCTATAGAATCTATTTCTCTCTCTCTCTCTCTCTCTCTCTCTCTCTCTCTCTCTCTCTAATGCCTACAGACCACTTCATAATACACTTCAAAATCCACTTCACCATACACCCGCTGAATTGTAAGGGGAGGGGGATTTTAATCTTCTTCCAATTATTAACATCTTCTTTCTTACAAATTTCTGAATTTCAAAAACAAAGTTAAATTCTTTAAATTCAACCAAATGTCTATATTCAAAAACCACCCAACTTAATTCTAAAACATTCAAAGAACCTCCATTCTAAATTGAGGTTTTATTATAAAAATGTCCCTATTCTAGAGTGCTGTCCCTTATTGTGTACTTTTACCGTCAGATCTTGTTCAACCGGAAGCTTCAATTACCCAGAAGCCTCACGAGAGAAACCGCCATTTCCTATTCATAAACTCCGGTTAGAAAACAATATTAAGATTCCACAAGATTAACCCCAGCCGAGACCAATGAAAGACTTCTATTGGGGGGGGGGGGAATCGACAGTGAATGTCAATCGATTGGCATTAGAAAAAAAATCAAAGCGTTCGTGGTTAGATCGGCATTATTGATTTATGTTTGTTTTTATTGATTGTTTGGTGAGAATATTGAGCTTCTTAGATCAATGTCATACGTTCAGGCTTTGATAGATTATTTTGGTGTGTGACTAGTATGGAAACATTGACAGATCCTGTGTTGGTTTGTTTATTAAGAAGAGTTTTGCGAATAGTGTGGTCGAGCGGGAAAGCATGTTATTGCTAACTGCTAAAGTCTCGAGTTCGGACCTCGGGCAGATGAGGCCCGTTAGCTAGGGACAGCAACCCAACTAGGTGAGGAAACTCCAAAATGAAACAACTGCTGCATTGCAAATTGTTCTTCGCTGGAGAAATGGAAGCATACTGAAAGACGACAGGCCATATGACGCACAACAAGTTGAAACGTAACACTTAATTGTGTTAGAGGAAATCCCTGCTAAAATACAAATAAGAACAAATAAGATACATGACTTTCCAACATCTTATACTGATGCTTGTGTTTTGTCGATTTACTTATGTCTTTCATTTGTCAAATTACTGGTCCCTCTTTCAAGGTAGCAATTAGTCAAGTTTCCAATTTGTCAAGTTACAAATGTGTCTAGTGACCAATTTCTCAAGTAATCAATTTGTCAAGTTACCAATGTGTCAAGTAACCTATCTGTCAAGTTTCCAATTTGTTAATCTACCGATTTGTCAAGTTTCCAATTTGTCAAGTTTCCAATTTGTCAAGTTTCCAATTTGTCAATCTACCAATTTGTCAAGTTACCAATTTATCAAGTTTCCAATTTGTCAATCTACCAATTTGTCAGGTTACCAATTTATCAAGTTTCCAATTTGTCAAGTTTCCAATTTGTCAATCTACCAATTTGTCAAGTTACAAATGTGTCTAGTGACCAATTTCTCAAGTAATCAATTTGTCAAGTTACCAATGTGTCAAGTAACCTATCTGTCAAGTTTCCAATTTGTTAATCTACCGATTTGTCAAGTTTCCAATTTGTCAAGTTTCCAATTTGTCAAGTTTCCAATTTGTCAATCTACCAATTTGTCAAGTTACCAATTTATCAAGTTTCCAATTTGTCAATCTACCAATTTGTCAGGTTACCAATTTATCAAGTTTCCAATTTGTCAATCTACCAATTTATCAAGTTACCAATTTGTCTAGTTACCAATTTGTCAAGTTTCCAATGTGTCCAATTTTTTTGATTGACAATTCGCCATGTTTTATTTCCCAATTTACTTTTCCATAGTGGACGTACATTGACGTCTTTCTATAAGACATTGTCTGGTCTTTTGACGTCATGATAAATCTAAGAAATGGGCTTAACCACTACCCTACTCCACCCCACACTCACTCCACCGGTGCTAGACTTACTTACCTCATAGACTTACTGTAATCAGACAGTTATGGAACTCGCGTGGTTGAGAGAGAGAGGAAGGGGTGGGGGAGAAGACTCGTTTCACCTACAATTTCACCCGCCTCTGCAGCATACAGTACATCGTGGGCGATGTGTGTGAGTCAGCACTTAGAATAATCAACTCAAGTTTAGTTGTTTTATGTAAATCTAAAGATAGTAATGCCAGGAATACCAAGCACTAATGTAGTCATTGACGTCAAAAAGGTTTTTTTAATATAGTTGTAAAAAAAATGTAAAACATTTTGGGAAATAATATGGTCTGGATACGAATCATTGTATGGTATGTGCCCCACCCCCGGGCTGAGGCACAGACTAGGTCCTGTCATCATCGTTAGATAACATTTGCCCAACCTAGTTGGTGTTGAGAGAAAATGAAATCCATTAGGTCTTACAGTGTGAATGTAGTGGTGATTTTAAATAGAAATCAATATAATTAATTAAGTAATGTACTGCTATGAACTGAGCTACACATATTGATTCTAATTAGTTTTCAAAGATTCTTCATCATTCGAATGCAAAGAAATAAAAAAGGCCTCACATATTCATTCTAATTAGTTTTTAAAGATTTCCTCATCATTTGAATGCAAAGAAATAAAAAAAAGGCCTACTATTTTTTAAAAGCTTTAAAATCAACTTACTAATTTTAAAATTCATAATTACTAAAAAGTAGAAAATAAAACTAAAATTTGAAAATTTGTAAAAATTTTAACATGCGCTGAAAAGTAAAATAAAACAAATTTGCTTTCTTTAAGAATTTCTTTAAAGAATGCATTAGTCACTAAAGTTTTTAACATATTTTACAATGCTAGGCATCTACGATTTTTTTTTAATCGGGCGGCTTCAGTTTCAAACAATGAACGATTCACTAATTTTTTTGTGAACTGACGATTAAGTCAGAGGCGTAGCCACCAAATCCTGTGCCCTGGGCGTCCTATTACTTTTGCACCCCTCCCACAGTTGGAAAGGATGGGTTCGCCTTTTACCAGTCACTTTCCCTTAACAGTTTTTATTTTGATGTAACACAATTGATTTAACTTAGTTAAATTAATCTGGGAAGCCAAGTACTAGTTTTTTTCTTTACTTTGATAGTAATGTAGCTCAGAATGAGCTTTTAATTATTTTTTCCACCCTATTTAGTGCCCCACTATGGCTGGCGCCTGGGGTGCCACCCCCACCTGCACCCCTTAGCTACGCCTCTGACGTGAGTTCATGTTCTGCTCTCGTGGTTTGATGTAGTTCTGGAACTTTAGGTGAAACATACTTGGCTCTTACAATTGTACAAACAATCTTCATGATGATTTCTATTTTATCGTCCAGTTTAATATTTGAAGCTTGGGAAAATGAGTCAACATCTTCCCTAGTCAGAACTAGCCTTGGCTTATGTAAAAGCGAGGAAGGTAACTTTTCTTTCGAATTTTTCATTACAGTTAGAATATGTACAGGCGCGTTATCTTCCAATTGTGATGCTACGGCAGATTCCGCGAAATGGTTAAATAAAGCTGAGTAGCTCTCGTCTGCTTGTGTGTCACGTGATGAGTAAACATCCGCTTCCGGTTGTGATTTAGTTTCACTTTCAACACACGTAGCTGGTACATTAACGTGGTTGTCAATAACAAATATCGTCACGGTGGAGGTAACAATAGCTTTTTGTAAAGGACCCATAACTTGCTCACCGGGCTGGCCTATCTCGTGACAACGATCAGCTGCAATGCCGAAATTGAGTTCTATTATCTCTTTCAAAACACGCGACACCTCATCTGACCAACTGCCCCGAATGGGTATGTAATCTTCAGCGATATCTTCAACTATCACAACCTTCCATGTGTTAAAATCCTTAACTTTTAGACATGAATCAATATTAGACAGCAAGCTGGCTGGCCTTCGACTTTTTTCTTCTAAAATCTTGTCTGCGTATTCCTCTTTCACTATGTTCAACCAAATAGGATCCACACCATCATTAGATATCTTTAAGCATCTCCTAGCTTGGTGCAACATTGCACTTTTTATAACGTCGCTAGTTCGCCATGTAAGTTCGCTTTTCTCACCAAAACGAATTTTCACCATATCTAAAAAATGAGCCGCCTCGTCGTATTTATCCTTCGACAACATGTTCTTAACATAAATTTCTATGCATTCTTTGTTACAATTCTCCGTCTCCAAGAAAGAAATCATCTTACCCAGTTCGGGTAAGTTTCTGTAGTCTTTTACTAAATCACACAACTGGAAAAGTTTTCTCTGACTGGCCGGGCTGGCTTCAAAGTCGTATCTGATACTCAGACTGCTGAACGAGTTCCACAAGTTAGTTGTACAGTTTTTAAATTCAGGGATTGTGGTAGCGATATGTGTGGCTATGCGTACCGCCTCCATTAAGTATTCCTCACTCTCCTCCATTTGAATGTTTTTCCCTTCTTCCGTCGTTGCCTTCTCAGCTGCAACAGCACATATTTTTCCATACAAATCATAAACATACACACGGCTAAACTGTTGCACCATCTCGAGGTTCCTGATTTTGAAAAATTCTATCAACTCTTTACACGTGTGTTTTGCTTTGGTGTAGTTTTGTCTTCTTGCGATCAGTAACACCAGATCGTAATGTGCTTTAATGTTCAATTTATGACTCATCTGAACCGCCATACGCAGATTCTCTTCTGCAAGTTTGGCAAACTCATTGTCTGCGTTTAAAGGTAAATATTTTTCTCTCGCAACTTTCAACAGCCGCTGCAAGCGTTTTTCAGCAGGGTTAAGCGAATCTGTTTCTACTTTTTGAAGTGGGATAATTTGTTCGTTGTGATTAACGAACTCAAATCGTATCGCCTTTTGTACGTAAGTGAGACCCAGATGATGATACGCTCTACTGGATGGTCTAATTTCGATAGCTCTATTCAAACACTCGAGCGCATTATCTAAAGTTTTCGGGTCTGATTTCAATATTGTTCCAACCATCTTTAAAACCCTCTCGTTGGAACTTGTTATTCTTAAAGCCATAAAACAAAGCTCCTTCCATGCCATATCACCCAGCAGGTCGCGCCAAATTTCTGTACTCACCTGTCGAGTACCTCTAAACCTGTCTTGAAATCTCAGGTAAGCCAGCTCGGCAATGGCTGCGGCGCGTATAGTCGAATCAGAGGCTGACGTGCCCAGAGAGTGAAGACGTGTCGCGGCTTCTACGGCAAAGTTTTGTCCTTGAGGGTATTCTTCATACTGCCAAGATACCCTAGTCAAGCAGATTCGTCTGTAAACCAAAGCTAGTTGGAACTGAATCTTTTCGTCAAGAGTAGTCTCAGAAGAAACAAATGTCAACAGCTTTATACAACTGAGAAGATTTTTCCCACCACCGAATTTCCGGTACGCATAAGCTTGTTCAATTAGAGCATCAATTTTCATATTCTTATACCCCGGCAACTTTTTACACTCTTTTAGTTTTTCCCTTACTCTACACGATTCATCTACCTCGTCCATATGGAAGTATAAAAAAGCTGAATTAGCCAATGCGGTAAGATTCTCTGGAAACTATTCCAAAATCTTCTTGTTCTGTATATGAGCGTCGTCAACTTTATGAACTTCAAATAAAATTCGAGTCTGGAGATTTTTTTTCCAGATCTCGTTTTCGAATTCTTCGTCATCGATTTCATTTTCTAGATCCATCTTCAGGTAGGCAAATGTGTTGGGTTTAATTATGGGCGTGTCTGTTTCGCATTTCTTCCCAGCCTCTGTTTCGCATTTCTTCCCAGCCTCTGTTTCGCATTTCTTCCCAACCTCTGTTTCGCATACCTTGCCAGTCTTCCCAGCTTCTGTTTCGCATGCCTTGCAAGCCTGGGCTACATCACTAACATCTACACTACCCAGGTTAAAAGAGCATGGGAATTCTTGCATTCGTTGTTTGAAACTATTCAAAGATCTGCCCAGATTCACCTGACTTTTGATTTCCATGTTACCTGCAACTCCCTGCGAACGATGAATAGGATTGATTAGGAACAATATGTACGGAACTATTTCCGGATGATCGGAAATTGTATTCAATTGGGATCTCAAAGCCAGGCAATAGACATGTGCATTAAATATCAGTGCGAAATAAAGCATCGCTAAAAATCCGATAAACCTAACAACTGTGTATACTAATGGATGGTTTAGTAAATGTAATATGCATTAGTAAATTAGGAGGGTCAATCATTGACTTCAAAACAAGTAGCTGAAGATACACATGTATGAATCTATATATAGAGAGACTTAAAGAGAGACAAAGACATGGACATAGACACAAAGACAAAGACACCAAGCATGCACATGCGCATGCGCATAAACGGGTACAGGCACCGGCATAGAAAACAATACCCACATTCACGCATACACCAACAACTATAAATATACCCATACTAATATATATGCACCTATAAATGTACATACAATTACACACCCATACACCAACACACCTACACACGGACATGGACATCAACACAGGCACACACAAACACATACACACACACACACACACACATATATATATATATATATATATATATATATATATATATATATATATATATATATATATATGTGTGTGTGTGTGTGTATATATATGTGTGTGTGTATGAGTGCGTCTGTGTGTGTGTTATGTACCGTGGAAAACGTTAGAGAAAGAGAAATGTTATTTTAACATTAGGGTTAAAAATAAGTCTTACTTGACAGCCTAGGCTGCGTCTGTGTTATTAGTCTTGTGCTATTTGTACGAAGTTAAAAAGAACAATGTTGTTGTCATATTAGTTTTAAAACCAAGCCATTGATTATGTCACTGAAAATAATATCACCTTCTTGACTTTTTCACCCTATAAAATGAATGTAGAAATAAAGTAGGCTGTAGTTTCCTCAATAGTTTCTCGTTTCAACATGCTAAAGGTTTCGGTTTCAAAATTAGTAATAGGGAATTATAAACGTGAGCTAACGGGAAATTCACTTTGCGACCTGTAGTAAATTACATAAGCTTTTCCATACAGATAGTCTATTGCGGCTATTTCGTTCAAATTTTCTACATGCATTCGTCTCTAATGACAATGCAAAAATATATCATTTCAAGTTTATTATTATAAACGTTTTTTTTGTTCCAAATCTATTTAAAAGCTATCGCGTCTCATGCAAACAACCACAAAAATAATGCATTATTCATCCACGTATGTTTAAAAAAAAATAATTTCAGTTATTTTATTGTTGTAGTAAGACCAGTGGCGTAGCCAGGATCTTCTCAAGGGGGGGGGGGTCATACTTATACTTTTTATATATACCGAGGGGTCTATGGAGGGGGGGGTTATGACCCCCCTGCCCACGCCACCGAGTAAGACTGTTAAATCTATACATTCAAGCAAAATTAACAATTAATCTGTTGATTGGCGAATTGTTTTTTTCTTTCACAGACGTGTGGTGGGCAACAATTTGACATCCCTGCCAAAGAACTTGTTCAAAAATAATCCGTTTTTGAAGCACTTGTAAGTATGCTTACCTATATATATATATATATATATATATATATATATATATATATATATATATATATATATATATATATATATATATATATATATATATATATATATATAGTGGCATTCGGGCATTTGTCGCATTCGGGCAAGTGTCCATTCGGGCATTTGTCGCATTCGGGCAAGTGTCCATTCGGGCATTTGTCGCACTCGGGCAAGTGTCCATTCGGGAATTTGTCGCATTCGGGCAAGTGTCCATTCGGGCATTTGTCGCATTCGGGCAAGTGTCCATTCGGGAATTCGGCCTTCGGGCAAACGGCATTCGGGCAAGTGTCTTTCGGGAATTTGTCGTAGACCAGGGGTCGGCAACCTGCGGCTCGCGAGCCGCATGCGGCTCTTTTGATATCAAGATGCGGCTCTCCAGCTCCTTGCACTAATACTAATAATCTTAATAAAAAATAAAATATTTGAAATTTAAAAAAATGTTTGTGGCTCTTTAAAACCTGGGAAATTTTGAAAATTGTAACTTTTGGCTCTTCGGCTTCAAAAGGTTGCCGACCCCTGTCGTAGACCCATATATATATGTATATATATAGGCCTATATATAAGCATATGGTTGGTAGACGTATAAATTTTAGAAAGATTTATTAATTTCATATAACTGAAGGTGTGCATCTATATATATATATATATATATATATATATATATATATATATATATATATATATATATATATATATATATATATATATATATATATACATATATGTATATATATATATATATATATATATATATATATATATATATATATATATATATATATATATATATATATATATATATATATATATATATATATATATATATATATGTATATATATATGTATATATATATGCTTGTTTCCCTTTACATTCCAGAAATTTCCAGGGAAATCAGTTCAAGAAGGTGCCACCAAGAACTTTCAGTAACTTGAAATACCTGCAACATCTGTAAGTTGGAATAGTGTTATCTTCACTTTGTTGTGTTTTCGTGGCTAATGTTGGTCATATTGCTGTTGTTGATATCGTGTTACCTGAGTACCAGCTTCAACAATTTCACCTGTATTCTCCACGTCTACATTCTCATGTGTATTCCCCAGTTACCTGTACTCCCAAGTTACCTGTATTCCCCACTCCTTCATTCCCACCTGTACTCCAAAGTTACCTGTATTCCCAACTTACCTGTATTCCCCACTCCTACATTCTCACCTGTATTCCCCACTCCTCCATTCCCACCTGTACTGTCCATTTACCTGTTTTCCCCACTCCAACATTCTCACATGTATTCCCCTCCTCCATTCTTACCTGTACTCCCCAATTACCTGTATTCACCACTCCTCCATTCTCACATGTATTCCCCACTCCTCCATTCCCACCTGTACTGTACATTTACCTGTATTCACCACTCCTCCATTCTCACCTGTATTCCCCTCCTCCATTCTCAGATGTACTCCCCAATTACCTGCATTCCCCAGTCCTCCATTCCCCCTGTATTCCCCAGATACCTGTATTACCCAGTTACCTGTATTCTCTACTCATCCATTCTCACCTGTACTCCCCAGTTACCTGTATTCCCCACTCCTCCATTCTCACCTGTACTCCCCAGTTACCTGTATTCCCCACTCCTACATTCTCCCTGTATTATCCAGTTACCTGTATTCCCCACTCCTCCATTCTTACCTGTATTCCCCACTCCTATATTCCCCCTGTACTCCCCAGTCACCTGTATTCCCCACTCCTGTACTCCCCAATTACCTGTATTCCCCACTCCTGTACTCCCCAGTTACCCGTATTCCCCCCTCCTCCATTCTCACCTGTACTCCCCAGTTACCTGTATTCCCCACTCCTATATTCCCCCTGTACTCCCCAGTTACCTTATTCCACACTCTTGTACTCCCCAGTTACCTGTATTCTCCACTCCTGTACTCCCCAGTTACCTGTATTCCCCACTCCTCCATTCTCACCTGTACTCCCCAGTTACCTGTATTCCCGACTCCTATATTCCCCTTGTACTTCCCAGTTACTGTATTCCTCACTCCTATATTCCCCCTGTACTTCCCAGTTACCTGTATTCTCCACTCCTCCATTCTCACCTGTACTCCCCAGTTACCTGTATTCCCGACTCCTATATTCCCCCTGTACTTCCCAGTTACCTGTATTCCCCACTCCTATATTCCCCCTGTACTTCCCAGTTACCTGTATTCCCCACTCCTATATTCCCCCTGTACTTCCCAGTTACCTGTATTCCCGACTCCTATATTCCCCCTGTACTTCCCAGTTACCTGTATTCCCCACTCCTATATTCCCCCTGTACTTCCCAGTTACCTGTATTCCCGACTCCTATATTCCCCCTGTACTTCCCAGTTACCTGTATTCCCCACTCCTATATTCCCCCTGTACTTCCCAGTTACCTGTATTCCCCACTCCTCCATTCTCACCTGTACTCCCCAGTTACCTATATTCCCGACTCCTATATTCCCCCTGTACTTCCCAGTTACCTGTATTCCCCACTCCTATATTCCCCCTGTACTTCCCAGTTACCTGTATTCCCCACTCCTATATTCCCCCTGTACTTCCCAGTTACCTGTATTCCCCACTCCTATATTCCCCCTGTACTTCCCAGTTACCTGTATTCCCCACTCCTATATTCCCCCTGTACTTCCCAGTTACCTGTATTCCCCACTCCTATATTCCCCCTGTACTTCCCAGTTACCTGTATTCCCCACTCCTATATTCCCCCTGTACTTCCCAGTTACCTGTATTCCCCACTCCTCCATTGTCACCTGTATTCCCCAGTTACCTGTATTCCCCACTCCTATATTCCCCCTGTTTTCCCCAGTTACCTGTATTCCCCACTCCTATATTCCCCCTGTATTCCCCAGTTACCTGTATTCCCCACTCTTATATTCCCCCTGTACTTCCCAGTTACCTGTATTCCCCACTCCTGTACTCCCCAGTTACCTGTATTCCCCACTCCTGTACTCCCCAGTTACCTGTATTCCCCACTCCTCCATTGTCATCTGTATTCCCCAGTTACCTGTATTCCCCACTCCTATATTCCCCCTGTACTCCCCAGTTACCTGCATTCCCCACTCCTATATTCCCCCTGTACTTCCCAGTTACCTGTATTCCCCACTCCTATATTCCCCCTGTACTTCCCAGTTACCTGTATTCCCCACTCCTATATTCCCCCTGTACTTCCCAGTTACCTGTATTCCCCACTCCTATATTCCCCCTGTACTTCCCAGTTACCTGCATTCCCCACTCCTCTATTCCCCCTGTACTTCCCAGTTACCTGTATTCCCCACTCCTATATTCCCCCTGTACTTCCCAGTTACCTGTATTCCCCACTCCTCCATTGTCACCTGTATTCCCCAGTTACCTGTATTCCCCACTCCTGTACTCCCCAGTTACCTGTATTCCCCACTCCTCCATTGTCACCTGTACTCCCCAGTTACCTGTATTCCCCACTCCTGTACTCCCCAGTTACCTGGACTCTAACGAGATCACCACGGTGCCAGTGACGGCCTTCCAGAACCTGACCAGGCTGAAGGTGCTGTGTCTGAACGCCAACAAGCTGGACAGGGTGCCGGTGGAAGCTCTAGCGAACCTTCGAGAACTGGAGGTCTTGTAAGTGTGATCACGTGACTCCCGTGGGAAGGTGGGAGACTGGGGGAGGAATCGTGTGTTAGATGGGTGAACAGGATAGTGACAATTGAAAAAAAATAAGTTACAGGCATCTTACAATGCCGGACATGTTTGTCAGATAACCTTTGATGATGTGAATCATTTGACCCTCGACCTGTTGACGTAAACATCAAATGAACATCGACGATACAGCTTGTACTATAAGTTATAGTTTGTTGACTCAAGTTTTGCCGACTACCGATCGGTGTGTTTCTTCCTGACTATTTTCTCCGGGGAGGGGGGAGGGCACTTAACATTTTCAACGAGGCGTGAGGGGGGGGGGGGGGGCGGAAACATTTTCCGAAGGGGGAGGGAGTGCGCACATTCTATATGAACTCAATCTTCCGAGGGGGGAGGTAGACGTTCCTCTTGAGGCTCCACCCCCCCCCCCCCCCCCCACTCTCCGAAGAGATGCCTGAAAGATTTGTTGAATTCTGGTTAAGCACTTGACTTTTGTGTGTTTTTCTTACTAGCTTCACTTTCATAACGTGACAGTTGATTTAAAAAATGTCCTGGTTAGTTGTATCGTGTGCAGATGACCTTTGCGCTTTGCCCTCGTAAACTTTGGGCCTGTCTAAGGACCAATTGACCCCCGGCCAGTAAACTTTAAGTCTATGTGACGGAATAATCTTCCTAGTTCTTGCGGTCAAGTGAATGGGGTCAATAAAACAAAAAAACATCACTAGATATACACTCGAGTTTAAAACACGGGGGGGGGGGGTTGAATGAAGAAAAAAACTTAATCGGCGAAGTATAGTATCGGCTTTAATCTCCCTAGGGAGGGAAAAGGAAGATTTATTATTTTTGCCAAGATTTAGGGAAATAACAGCATGCTTCTAGTTTTCTAGATAATTCCATTAGTTTTCCCGCACTTTTCCCAATGTTCCAAATGTAGTGTCGCCTTTTGCCACCCCCAATTATGACGCCCCGTGGTAAAATTCATAATTAAATTTTAAACATTCGTCACTCGTAGAAAAGGACCCTGCGTTTCTTTATTTTTTTTTATTTTCCTGTTGTTGTTTGAGTTCTGGAAGCTTCTTCGCCTCCCCCCCCCTCCCCACTCTTTCTTTCAGGCATCTCTTGCACCCCCACCCTCGGATTTATCCACTACCCACCACATTCCCCAGGCGAAATTATGAAATATATTTTAAGTATAACTAATGTTATACTTGCCCCCCCCCCCCAACCTTGAAATTTTAAACGCCCCCCCCCCCCCCCACACACACACACACCGACTGAGCAAAATGTCAGATAGAAACCTTGCCTCCGTGCCCACTCAAACTCAGTTCACCACCCCTCCCCCTTCCCCAAACAAAAATTCCTATTTCCATTTCTTAAACGCCGCCCCCCCCCCCCCCAACTTAATCCAAGTCCCCGATGACCTCGACCTCCATTTGATTTTATTACCGCGCCACGTCTGCCGCGTCTAGGGCGTGACGTTGTCGGCCGGTCAGCAAACCGGAAGTGACGTCTTAAGGTACCGAAAACTTCCTGGCAATGAAATAACGATGGTGGTAATTGGTCTTTTCGACCTCTGGTGCGTTGTATTCATTTGTAAGCTGTGGGTGAGGCGGGGGGGGATTTGTTCGTGAGGGGGTGGAGACTACCATCATATAAACCTTAACACTACGTGACGTCACCGGCTGCCTACTCTTGAAATATAAAGTGTTTTGTCACGCCACGTTTTGGCTGTTAGCGTATTCAGTGTCTTCTTTTTAAACAGTTTACGGCTATAAGAGTCTGGGGGATTCCAGTGTGTGTGTGTGTGCGTGTGTGTGTGTGCGCGTGTGCGTGTGTATAACTATGTGTTTCTGTCTATGTGTCTATCTAGGACTCCATATAGAAAGCTAAATAACGACAGACAATACGAGGAAGAAGGTTAGAAAATAAAAGCTTTTAGGCCTAAATAAAATGAAAACATTTGACTTGGGACAAAAATAATACACATCATTATATTATTGATCCGTTTAAAAATATAATTCATCAGGTCCTGTTGAGACAAAGTATAAAAATGTTATATATATACATATTATATATATATATATATATATATATATATATATATATATATATATATATATATATATATATACCTATGCCATTGTTTTTACAGCTTTTAAGAGTTTAAGAATAAGGTCAATTTTGGTTGACCCACTTTTTAAAATCTGGAATATTAAAACTTTCTTTCCATTTTTACTTTTAAAGGACGTTAACCCTCAACTACATTCGAAACATCTCCGACTACTCGTTTCGAAACAACACAAAGTTGATCGAGTTGTAAGTAATTTATTTTAAGTAGAATCTACTTTATTTATTTATGTCTAGATTTAGTTTAATTATTTTTGTTAGTTATTTGACCTAGAAATCTAGGCCTACTTTTTAAAATTTGTAGATATTAATGATATTATTATTACTTTACATTTATTTGTGATTAATTAATAATTTCAATAATTTCATTAATGAGGACAAAACTATTAATAATTATAAAATCTCGAATACTACCACTAGAAAACTACTAACTAGCTAACTACTGCTAGAAATAGAATATAATCTAATTGATAGGTGTGGTTCCAAATATCTTTTTTTATTTACTAATTAATTAGCATTGAATAATTACTAATTAAATAATGATTACAATTATGAATTACATTAATAATTAAAATGTGTGTGGTTAAGAATTTTTATTAGCCTATATTAACATCAATGTATAGGCCCACAATATATATATATATATATATATATATATATATATATATATATATATATATATATATATATATATATATATATATATATATATATATATATATATATATATATATATATATATATATATATATATATATATATATATATATATATAGATCTATATATATATATATATATATATATATATATATATATATATATATATATATATATATATATATATATATATATAAAGACAATATGAGTTGTTGTTTTTATTTGTATATAGATCTAGAATCTATATCTATTAATTATTGTTTAGAGTTTAGAGTTTTTTGTTCAATTTTATTATTCTAATCTCAGGCAGCTGTCTAACAATCAGATCAGTTTCATTGGAGATTTTGCTTTTGTTGGACTCTCAGAGCTGAAATATTTGTGAGTTTGATTTATTATTTTTGTGACTCCTCATTTTTATGGTGTGCTCAAAGGAAAATTGGATTTTGTGGATAATTAACACCTGAAATATTAAAATATTAATTATTTATGGGTAAACTTTTTTTTATCATATTCTTGGAACAGCAATGTTTGAGATAGACGTTTTCTTTTTAACTTAAACATAATTAATAAAAATGATATCTGCAAATAAGGTACTTCTTTAAACTGTAAACTTAATACTCTTTTTACATCATATTTGACATTGAGTATTTTTAATTAAAAGTTTGATATGAGCCATATTAATATACTTTTTTTCAGATATATTTTTGTAAACAATATTCAGAAAATTCCATCTTCACTGATACACCTGGGGTCCTTGCAGGAAATGTGAGTGTCATTTTTTACTGCTTTTGTTAACGTTAATGTATATGATTTAATTATTCAAGCAAACATTTGATAGCCTGAAATTGTTTTAATTATTTCATTAGGAACAGAGTGGATCTTATGACCAGGGGGTTAAATAGTCATAGGAATGAGCACAATTATGTTCTGAGAAAAACCTGAATGCAGGTGTAATACAGAATCATACAATATAATTTATCATTTAAATATAATTTTAATTCATAACATTCTTCCTTCTTTTTAGAAATTTAGAACACAACAACATCAGCTACATACCAGATAAAAGTTTTCTTCTTAAGCCAAACCTGAATACTTTGACTTTGGCCCACAATCCTATTCGAACAGTTTATGAAACAGCTTTTACCAATCTACCCGCCTTACGACAGTTGTGAGTAGGTTTATACATTCTTATATTGACTTTATAATTCATTTTAATATGTAAATGAATTTAAGTAAAGTTTATTTACTTGAAAATCAATAAAAAAATTAATTTTTAACTACAACTTACTGCAACAATGTTCACCTCTAGCAATACTAAACTGGTCAGAGGTCTCTTCCAGGTTAAGACTTTCTAAACCTGTATTCCCTTTAAGTATTAAGCTCTCTCTATTAAAGAAACGATAACAGCTAAATATTCTTGTGATCAATGAATTCTTATTTTTGTTTTAATTCAATAATGTTTTTACTAAAAAAAAAGTTACCTCCCTTTATTTAAATACCAGTTTTTTAAAATTACATTCTCTGCTTTTATTAACACTCCAACAACTTGACATTAAATGCTGTGATATTCAATCATATTATTAGAAACTTTTACAATTTAAGGATATGATGAGATTAAGTTATATATGGCATATAAATCAATCATATATTTTAGAGACTTTTTGATGCTCAGGATATGGTCCAATTCTATAATATAAATCTTTTTATCCCAACACATTTTTAGGAGACTTTCAGAAGTTAAAGATATGGTCAGATTCCCAAACCTGACTGGGACCCACAACCTGAAAGAGTTAATCTTAGACAGAGCAAACCTGGTTGCTATACCTGATGAAATATGTACTACACAAAAAAATCTCATATGTTTGTAAGCTCTGATTGTGTATATATTTATGTTTTTGTTTTGTTTTTTTGTTTATGTACAGATAAGTTTTCAATTTCAGTATTTATTTTTTGAATTGGCAAAGAAATTTTTTAAGTTTTGATTTTTTATTAACATTTCATAATTATATTTTAGTGTTTTGTCTTAATAAAAGTTTTTAAGTGAAAATATTTTTTAACAAAAGAGTCTTAACCTTTTAGTAAAGTGCCTTTTAAAGAGTGTTTTTTTGTTGTGAGATTTATTTAAAGTTTAAAATTGTTTATGCACTGAACAAAGCAACCGAACTTTATGTGCACTTTTGTAAAATTTAACAATCATTTTTTGTAGTTTGATTTATGTCTGTTTTTAATTAAACACAGGTTTAAAAAAAGGTTTTGTTTTGTCAAAGGAAGAAATTAGCAATTTTAATGTTTTTCATACTTGTTTCTTTATAGTGATGTCCATTCTAACGCAATTCAGACATTTCCCAACATGTCTGAGTGCAGCTCTCTAGCCACGCTGTAAGTTTGACAAGTATTTACTTTTATTTTTTGTTGACTAAATTTGCTCTATTTTATGCTGTTGTTATATTTTACAATTAGCTAAAGGGAGTTACAAAATGAAATTAATTCCCAACTTCAAAATTTATTTCTATTATAAAAAAAAATTTCATTCTACTTCATAAAATTCATGTTTCCACACAAATTGAGGTCATGATTATTTTTAAAATCAAAATAACTGCTAGTAGCATATGAAGAGTTTATGTTCAAAATGCAATATATCCAAAATTTTGGTTTTGAGAAAATCGCACTTTTCTCCTACACAAAGCCATTGTACAATATGCTAAAACTGTTTTTCAAAAATAGAAATAAAATAAAAATTTTGCGCTGTGAAGATTAAAATTAAGTTTTCCTAATAGTAACTGAGTAGCTTTACAATATGGGCTCGTTATCTCATTTTTTTCAAAAATGGCGCTTATCGCATTTTGAAAATAAACTCTTCATATAAATAAAGATATTTCAATTTAACAAATCCTTTTTAATGGTTTAGAGGGAAAAGGCAACTTGCTTCTTCAATAATAAAATTATTTATCAGAAACATAAGATTAAAAATAGGAAAGAAATTATAAGAAAAGTGTATTATGCTGTTGTACTATGGACTTTATTACAGAAACATGGGCAACAATCGACTTGTCTCCTTAGCTGGACAGCCATTCAAAGGTCTTGAGAATTTGATTGATCTGACGCTTGAAATAAATGACATTGAATTCATCCCAGAGGATGCTTTTGTTGGTTTGGTTAAGCTGGATTACTTGTGAGTAAATTTTTAAAAATTCATTTTGATTTGGAAAAAATAACTTTAATATTGTTAATGGCTTTTGGTTTCTTTTAAATTATTATAGATTAGTTTTTTATGGTTTTTTTTACTTACAATTATAGTTAAATTCATTTTATTTTTTATGATTAATAAATAAAAATACACAATTTAAATAATTACGTTTTTAAATATTATTTCAACTGGCATAACTTTTTTATTCAGAAACCTGGCAAACAATCGAATAAGTGCTATACACCCTAAAGCATTCCTGCCATTTACCAAGTTGAGAATATTGTAAGTTTATCACAATACTTGTCAAGTGTGTGATAGCTTTATACTTTACATTTATTTATATACCCATAATTATTTCTTTATGCATTAAAATTTCTTATAATTTTCTGATGCTACGGTGCATGGAGTAATACAAACTATTTCCCTTTTTGACAAATATAATTTTCATAATGCGTACAAATATATGATGTTAAAGAACCTGTAAACAGTAAATACAATTGGCTGCCAATTTTATGGTAAAATTAAAGTGAGTATTATAAGCCATTTGTAAAAAAAAAAAAACAGGCAAAGCAAAATTGCTACTTGGTACATGCCCTTACCCTTATCCTCCATAACTGAGATACTAGCAGAAAAAATCCTGATGGAAACTATTGTCTGGCCTGTAAATTATATACTAACCATTTATTCAAATCTCAAACTTTTTTCCAATTCAAACATGACACTAACCCAGACCTTCATTTTATCCCTATCAGCAATACTGGTAGAAAAAAAAAAATGTCATGAGAATGCAGTGGTGTAGCCAGGATCGTCTAAAGGGGGGGGGTCCAATTTTTTACCCGGGGACAAACTTTCGATTTGCACCCCACCCCTCAAACTTTTGTTTTGCACCCCACCCCTCAAACTTTTGTTTTGCACCCCCCCCCCCCAAGCTTTCAATTTGCACCCCCACCCCTCAAACGTTCATTTTGCCCCCCCCCCCCTTCAAACTTTCGATTTGCACTCCCCCCCCCCCCCTCAAACTTATGATTTGCACCCCCCCCCCCCGTCATACTTTATATATATACCGAGGGGTCTATGGGGGGGGGGAAGGAGTTATGACCCCCACTAAACCCCCCCCCCCCCTCCTGCCTACGCCACTGTGAGAATGTGTTGTCCTCCCAGGAATTTTTATCAGAATCATTTATTCTAACCCTCAAAAATAATTTTCCAATACCTAACCCTACTTCCACCTAGAGACAAAGGGGATGGTGCTGTCAAATGATAGAGAGTTTGACTGGTACCTGAAAGTCTTGAATTCTGATCTCAGGCTTGAGCCCATTGCTCTGCTGACCACCCTATCCCTCCGGGGTCACTGAAACAGGTGAACTCTACTTCAACTGCCCTTTGGAAAGGGTACTTTTTTTTTACCCAGAGACCAACCCAAATCATAATTTTATAACTGTCAGCAATACTGACTGGAAAAAAATTCTAGGATCTGTTTTCTGCATTGTCTACCAGTTTTTTTTTGTTTTTTTTTTTTGTTTTTTTTTTTTTTTGTTTTTTTTTTTTACATAGAAAAAACTATTCCTTAATGATTCTAAAAACCTTTTCCATCCAACCCACACCAGAAACCTGGCCAACAACCACCTCCACTACCTGCCCACTGAAGGCCTCACCCAGCTGGAGAACCTCAAGGTGTTCAACAACCGCGACCTGACAGAATTTCCAGCCAAAGAAAAGTTCCCCAATGTGAACATGTTCTCGCTGGCGTATGCTTACCACTGCTGCGACTTCATCGACTCACAGCCTGAGGTGAGTAGTTTGTAGACATCAGGCGCTTCATTACTCATCAATAACTTGTATACAGTTAGGTTGTTTAAGTTCTTAATTAACTAGAACTTTGGGTATTAGATCTACACCAGGGAATATTTTTATGCTATTATTTATTTTTTATCTATAAAGGATTTTATAACCATAACAAAGTTGGTTTAAAAAATATTTTACACTAACTGCTGAATTATAAAATATTTTCCATTGTTGTTGCTACTAGAAATATTTATTTTAAATCGGTCAAGATAATATATTGGTTTATCTATTTTCGTAAAAAAAAAATATCTAAGATATAAAAATATAATTTAATTTGTCTTGTTGCTCAATGCAAGGTAGATAACCATGATAATAAATATTTTTTAAAAGATTGAATATTATTTCCCTTTTGTTCCTGCAAACTCAGTCCTATTAAAAAATTAATGCTTTTAACCCCTTGCTTTTAAATTAAGCTTCAGCTTGAACATTATAAATTGTGCAATTTTTTCACAATATAGCAAAAACAATAATCAAATTGGCTTTTTTTTTTAAATTGTTATAATTAATATACTGTTGATACCCAAGTCAAAAGTTTAGATAAACAAATCTTTTTATTTCGCTAATTACCTTTTCTGCTAGATCACAGATATTAATTTTAAAATATATATGAGTTGTTAAGTTAAATTCTAATGCAATATTTTTTTATACCCATTGTAGTTATTTTAATAACGTTAGCCATTGATAAAACGTGTACAATTATTTAATCAGTGTAAGGTTATTTTTAGTCTAATAATGCATCATATATGTAATTTCCCCTTTATAAAAAGAATTAAAATCTTTCACACAGTTTAAGATTATTTCATTACCTTTTTATAAATAAATTACTTTTTAAATAATTCATGCTTGATTTAAATTACTATTTTCCAACGCAAACCCATTTTTTAAATGCTTTATTCCGAACCCTTTGCTTTCCTACCTGACTTGCAGCAAATTTATTTGGATATGGTAAGAGAGCAAGTATTTTGGATGGGGTCTGGACAGAACCAGCAAAAAATTTTGCAAACACTAGAAAACCACTCTCGCTTATGGGAATCTATGTATGGTAAGAACGCCAGCACAAGATTCATGTTTCCTCACAAATATCCTATCTTTTCAAAATGCTGGTACATTTTGCTAAATTAAAATTTTTAAAAATGTAATAATTTATTTATTTTTAAAAATTTACTATGAAATAAAAATTTTATTTAAAAAACTAAAAGCATTTTTAACAAAATATGTTAGGAGTTAAAAAATTATGTATGGCATTTTGAAAGTTTATTCTTTTTAAATGTTTAAATTACACTGTATTTTTGTTTCTGTAATTATTTTTGTTTCCAGCTCTTTATTTATACTTAATTTGCATGGCATTTTGAAAATATATTTTTCAATATTTTCATTGTATTTATATTTATATTGCTAATTTTTTACTTGTTTCAGTAATAATTGTTTTTGCATTTTTATTTCTTCATTGTATTTTCCACCGCCTGGTCTTAAATGTTTTTGCATCCCGTCGTTTTGAAAATGGCTTCACCTTGCTGCTGTGTAACAAACTGCAAAATGTAGGCCAGTAAGCACAGTCACAATGAAGTTATCAACGTTGTTGATTTAGATAAAAATGCATCTGATCAGTTGGATAATATGCATGATGACCAAGCTAGAGAGTTTTTAAGTAAGTTTGAAAACGATTTTTGTAACTTTAATTTATGGTCCATTAAAGTTAAACTTCTGTTTGATTAGATAAAGCTGGTGTAACCTCCCCTAAACTTACTGGTATATAATCTAATATAACAATATGGGTTGGGATAACACTTCCAGAGTAATCCGGCTATAGAAATACAGAAGCTTGTGACATAACCATTCCTTATGCCAAAACACATGAAGGCAAGTCTTGGAATAAGCTGCTTTAAAAAAGTATTTTATAAAATTATCAAATTCTTCTAGATTGGAAATATCCTACAGTCCCCATAAATCGCTCATAATTTTGAAAGAAACCGGTGCTTAAGATCTTATTCCTATTTATGAAATTTCATCCACCTTACTGAAATGATATTCAAGTTATGCTAATAAAAAAAAATAAGTAATCAAGAAAAAGATTTATTTCTACAAAAGTATAACCATTTTAGACAATACCACATGTTCATAATCACCCTCTTTGTAACCATATGTTTGTCATATTTGTAGAGTATGTTGAAATTCATGGTGAAATTTCTTCTAAACTTATGGAAGAATATTTTGGTGAGACCTGCACAAACATAAAAACTAATTTCCCCCACCCCCACACATCTACAGCACACAGTGGTTCTACTTTACCACTGTATTCACTCTCTTCCCCCACCCCCACCACCTCACATCTACAGCACACAGTGGCCTTACTACTGTATTCACTCTCTTCCCCCACCCCCACCACCTCACCTCACATCTACGGCACTCAGTGGTTCTAATTTACCACTGTATTCACTCTCTTCCCACACCCTCACCTTACATCTACGGCACTCAGTGGTTCTACTTTACCACTGTATTCACTCTCTTCCTCCCAAAATCCCATTTCTTTTACACAATCAAAAACACGCCCACCCTATTAACTAACAATCCCAGCCCCCTTCCTGTATTTACTAGGATCAGAGTATTGTATTTATATGGTCCATTAGAACCTTGTAATACTATGTAATAGGGTGACCCGTCAAAAGAGCGCACGACAAAAGAGCGCCGACATAAGAGCGCCGACATAAGAGCGCAGCCAATTAAAAAAAACACATGTTGTATGCTAAACGAATATGACATTGTTAACACTTGTTTTAATTAAACAATCGGCGGTACGATAAAACGACGTGTTTATTTATATATTATGGTTATGAATGCAGTTTGAAAATATTTCTAACCCAAGTAACATGGAGAAGATCGAAACACAGAAATGGAAGGTTATTATATTGGTCGAAGGCTACAGATGTCGAATGACAGTGAAGATGCTGCTTGCCTTTAGTTTTGTTCCTGTAAATGATGTCTGTATTACATTCGAGCATTTGGTAGAAGCTAGCCCTGCAGAAATTATGCCACTGGTAGATTATTGGGAGGCAAAGGAAAAACCGTCGAGGTGACCCGCGCTTCGCTCTTGCTATTTGGAATGTCTATAATCGTGTCGCTGAAAATCTACCCCGTACAAACAACTAAGTCGGGGCATGACATCGCGCATTCCAACAAACGGTAGATTGCAATAATCCTTCCATTTTTAAATTGATCAACCAGTTTCGTCTGGAACAAGATCACATCGAAATCTAACTGGAACGTCATCTGGCTGGAGTTAATCAACCAGAAGCTTCAAATAACAAATATGTTCTGCTGAACCGAAGATTGCAGGCAATTGCTTCAACCTATGCTATGCTAATGATTCAATGAAGGACTACCTACGAGGTATAGCCCACAACTTAGCAATATAAATGCAATTATAAAGAAACGTTTTATTAATTTGAACTTACTTTCATTTTGTTACATTTCATTTCAGTTTATATTCTCACTTTAGGCCTAACATTTAAAATCTTTGTCGGTGTTATTAGATTGCGTTTTGAATAATTGACGTCACTATGATTATATCTGATTTTTTAGTTAAAGAAACTAAACAATTAGTTTTTTAATGAAACAATAAAGAGTTAACATCAAACAATGCCTTCTAATCTGAGTTAATTTTCTTGTTTTTATTTATTAAATATGGTTTTTCGATCTTTAGTTTGCGCTCTTATGTTGGCGCTCTTTTGTCGGGAAATTAGTGCGCTCTTATGTCGGCGCTCTTATGTCGGCGCTCTTATGTCGGCGCTCTTTTGTCGGCAAATTAGTGCGCTCTTATGTCGGCGCTCTTATGTCGGCGCTCTTTTGTCTGCGCTCTTATGTCGGCGCTCTTTTGACGGGGTGCCTGTAATAGTATGTATTTTACACTAACGCACACCATTATCTTTTTTTAAAGCACTGCCTACCTAGCTGCACTGAAATGTATATTCTATTGTTTTGTTTTCTTCTATTTTTTTACTCACTTTAATTATATCTTAATATAAACATGTTCATGATACTTTAAGAAGTATTTCTTACACTTTAAAAAAAAATGTTATAAACTATATACAAAAAAATTTAGATCTTCTGTGAAACCTTACATCAATAATGACATTAAGATGATGCTTTTTTTAGTATTGTGAAACTATTTCTCTTCTTTTATTTCTTCTGTTAATGTTTTAGTGTATATTCTGCACATTTTGAACATGATTTAGATAAGGTTTGCACAGCTTGTTTCCTTATTTTCAGTTCGCCTAAATTTTTAAACTGCAGCAGTAAAATTGTGTTTCCCCAGTACTTTTCTGGCATTAGTTTTAATTCAGATATGTATTACTCCATAGACAGTTTCTTGTACTTCTCATTTTAATAAAACTATTATAAGAAAAATTATAATCAAATAAGTTATTTGAGATATGTGGTTATTTTTCTCCCACCATCTGACATTGAATTATAAAAGGGTGGTTTTTTAATGTTGATTTAAAATCATTTTGTAATTTGGGGTTGAGCTGACTTGTATTTTACAACTAACCAGATCAATTTCACACTCCATTGTTGAATGCCATATAGCAAAGTAGCCTGGACTATGGTTAACCACCATGTAGCAATCATTTATTTATTTCTTATCACTAAAAAAATAAAACTTGTAAATTTTATTTCATTTGATATTAAATACAATATTTTTCTTTCTTATAGTTACCCTTTCTCTGTAGTTGAAATATAGTAATGTAATAAATAGTTGTTAAATAACAATGTTCATTATTTTAAGTATTAAATACTTTAAATGTATTATTACAACATTTTCTTTAGTTCTAAAAATATAATTACCTGCTGCAGTTTAAAAACTTGGATTCCTAACTAGTTTATTTCACAACTATTTTGTCAACAGCCTTTTTTGTTTTTCTGTTTCTTCTTTATGCATGAACTGTTTTTAGTGTTTAAATATCTTATTACTGAGAGTAACATAAATAAATAATTTCATTTCTGTAAGTTTTCATTAGCTATGTTTTATTACAATGCAATGGATTAAAATGCGTAAAGAAAAATTATTTTTATTCGTCACTTTTCAACAAACACCATGTCAGTAATTTGCAATATAACTAATTTAAAAAATGTGTGGATAAAACCTTGATTTAACAGAAAAAAACTATTGATATTAAAAACATCCTTATGACCAAAACTATGTGATTTAGAAGGAAATATGATATTCGAAGAAAATAAAGCCTAAGAATTTTAGAAGCCTGAAATAAGATTTTAGCATACTTGTTGCACAATTCCGACATGTAGTGCAAACTGACACAACAAAAATTGAATGTGATGACTTTGCTTGGTTTATTACTAGATCATAAGGGAGGCTTTAGTTAAAACAATACCTAATTAGAGTAAATTTTAACTAACATTCAGTTAGATCTCTTACTTTATACTTCTTTATAGAATAAACATTTTAACTGTGGAATAAATATTGTAAATAATATTATTAATTTAAATTATTGATTAGCAAAGGGTTAAAATACAAAAATTTCTCTTAATTGTATAAACATCTTAACAGAAATTTTTTTAAAAATTTTTTTGTTAAAAGTAAAATAGACAAAATGCTAATTCAATTTAATGAATTGTGTGAATTTTGTTTTTCAGACAACTTGACTAAAGCACACAACAATAAGTATCAGCAACTTTTAACAAATGACTTTGATATTACTGATTTCCCGCTCAGTGGATCTGACGATAAAAATGTAATTGACAACTATGTTATCAGTAAAGCTGCAATCTCTTGTAAGCCTATGCCAGGTAAGGAAATTTTAAACTTTTTAATATAATGTTTGATCATTAATCACATAACTATTATCCCTTTTACACTATTTGTAGCCAGAAGTAAGGTTATATTTTATATACATAGTTATATTTTTTAGTTATTTTTAAAAAGACCTGTTTTAAAAGAAAGAAAAAAGATAATAATTTTATAAAAATGTAATTACCTGTTAGTGTTGTTAGCTGTAAACAATTTGTGGATGATTCATGTGTTTTTCTTTTTGCACAGCCAAATTTCTGCATTTTCTCTTCTAGGCATTCATCCTTTGCGTTACATTTTATTCTTTTATGACATGCACTTGATCATTGTTATTGTGCAGATTCAAAATTTTGACTTATTAAGTTGAAAATTTATATTCATTTGGCTAAAATAACCTCAACATTCATTTGCAATTAGAATTAGTAAAATTTATTACCAATGTGTCTTTTTATTGTTTTTTTAATACTACTAATATTACACTATTTTAAACCTTTGGTATTAAATTTTTAATTATCATAATATTAATATTATTACTAATTGATTATTCATTATTATTTCCATATTAAATTATTTATTACTCATAATATCATTTTTACCTATTGTTATTTAATCGCATTTACTACTGATATTACTGATAGAAGCGATTTAATATCTTCTCATTTGTTAACATATTTATTTATCTATTCCCAATTAGCATTTTAGAACTAGCATGCAATTTTAAAATGTTTCTTTGTTAAAAGTTGGTATTTATTTAATTTATTCCCAATTTGTATTTCAAAATTAATTGATCTTGTGGTTTTAACTAACTGTTGCTTGATACTTTTTTTTTCTCCCCCAGGACCCTTCATGCCCTGTGATGACCTGTTTGGGTGGTGGTCTCTCAGATGTGGTGTCTGGTTTGTCTTCATGTTGGCACTGCTGGGCAATGGTGTGGTGTTCTTTGTGTCTGTCACCAGCAGATCCAAGATGGACGTCCCCAGGTTCCTGATTTGTAATTTAGCCATGGCTGACTTTTTCATGGGTGTTTATCTGGGGATTCTTGCCATTATTGATGCTTCAACTCTAGGTAAGAGGAGACTACTCTCATTCAGTTTCAGAATATGATAATAGTTTATCTGTACACATTATACAAAACATGTTTCAATCAATAGCCAAGAGCTAAGGGTTAGGGGAAAATGAGTTATCATTTGCAAAAGGGCTCACTGTACGATGCACATATATCTTGATTTTCTTTATGAGCTCCTGCTAATTTCTTCTTGATTAAGCTGCATATTTGGTTTGTAATTTGTTCTTATGTTTTGTCTTGTGTCTTGTATCTACATTGTTGGATAATTTTTATATTGACTTCTCCTCTTCTTCATCATGTGAGCCCAGTGGGCATAGAAAAAAAAAAATTAAAAATTTTGGTAAACATATAATGCTGCAGCAAATGAGAAAAAATGCAGAAGACAAAACTATGTACTAATTAAATATATTATTAACTTTTATTAGAATTTGGAAGGGGGGGTATTTTGTAGAATTATTTATGTGGTTGTTTGATTTTTATGACAATTTGAGGGGTGGGGGTCAAAATTGAAGTAAAGACGTAAATCAATTGGTATTTATTTCCACCCTATATATAAATTACAAGATGTAAGTTTCACCCTATAATTTCCTTACAAAAATAACATTAAAAATCTCCTACAGGTCAGTTTAAAAAGTACGGCATCCAGTGGCAGATGAGTGCAGGGTGTCTGGTGGCGGGGGTGCTGGGTGTTTTGTCCAGTGAGCTCAGTGTCTTCACACTGACCGTCATCACGCTGGAGAGGTTCTACGCCATCACCCACGCCATGCAGCTCAACAAAAGGCTTTCACTGAAGCATGCTGGTAGGTTTGGTGCCAAGTCATTCTCAAATTTTAATGGCAGTCTCTTATTTAAAATCATCCAATCTTGTGTGTCATTTAATCTATCAAGTTTTAATGGCAAGCTCATCTTTCAAATCTTCCAAATCTGAATGGTTAACTAATCCTTATGGTAATCAAAGATAGATGGTCAGCTAATCCTTATGGTAATCAAAGATAGATGGTCAGCTAATCCTTATGGTAATCAAAGATAGATGGTCAGCTAATCCTTATGGTAATCAAAGATAGATGGTCAGCTAATCCTTATGGTAATTAAAGATAGATGGTCAGCTAATCCTTATGGTAATCAAGAATTGATGGTCAGCTGATGTTACATTTATGTTTTATCATGTTCTTTTAGTCATCATCAAATTTTGATTGTCATTTAATCTTGACACTCATTAAATTACATTATATTATGGAATCAGCTAATCTCGGCTGGTTTATGTTGACAGTTGTTAGATCTTGTAATGGGAATTTCATAAGAACAAACTTATCTCTAAGATTGTGTAAACTCTGCCAGAAGCAACCCAGTTTTACTGGCCAAATTATAGAAAATTAATATAATGTTGTCAATTAAAAACATTGTGACATTTAAAAATTATGGTGTATAAATGCATTTAAAAAATGTAAAATACTGCAATTACCTGTTGTTTTGTGTGTGACCATAACTTCAGATATTAACCATCACAAAACTACAACTAACATTAATGAAACAAATTGGTCATTTAATTATTTGTTTTGTATTATAGGCTGCATCATGCTGGGAGGGTGGATATGGAGCTTTGGGCTGGCACTTTTGCCTCTGTTTGGAATCAGTGACTACAGGAAGTTTGCCGTCTGCTTGCCCTTTGAAATAGAAGATGTCATCTCCAAAAGTGAGAGCAAAATAATTTTTTTTATATTTTGTTTTGGGTGATTTCTCTACAATATTTATAATATAATGCATTTGGTAGTTTGTCAATTATTTCATCATTCACTCATCAGCCATCTAAAAGGTCTGTGTTGAAGAGATTAAGTTTGGCAAGAAACTCATGTTGGATGCTCATGGAAATACACCTGTTAATTAGTTAATTAACCCTTTACAAAATCTTAACTGATGTCCATTAGATCAATGCAATAATCAATTTTCACTGGCTCAGTTTATACTCTTGATAATGTTTATAGAATGCTAACAAACAGTAAACTACTAGTAGGTTTTTTTAATTGAAAGTTATAATTTTAATTATGATTTGCTTTTAAAAATGTTTTTGTTCCTTTAGTTTTCATACATTTTGGTAAATTGAGTTATTTATTATTTTAATGACTTATGCATTGTTAGAATTTAGTAGCAGTTTTAATATAGTTTAATTGAAAACTAATTCCCTTTTTTGTGTGTCTAGGTTATGTCTGCTTCATAATGGTGTTCAATGGCATCTCGTTTTTCATCATCCTGAGCTGTTACCTTATCATGTACATCAGCATCAGGGATTCTCAAGCCTGGAACTCAAATGACACTAGGGTGGCTAAAAGAATGGCTTTACTTGTCTTTACAGGTACACAAACTTCACTAAAAGGGATGTCTGGTTTTAGGGTCTAAAGTCTGAAAATTGAAACAAAGAGTTGATCTATGTTAGCTGATTGCTTGGTCATGGTTTATTTTGAATTTCTGAAATGTCTAATTGTTAGTTGTAGTCCATAATTTTTAAGAATTTTTAGGAATGTTGGAAAATTTTAATTTTTAAGGCAGTATTTTGTAAGAAAGTCTACGGGAAAAATTTTGTTTAAACATTTAAACATCATATTTCCACATAAACTTGTAATGTTTCAGATTTTCTGTGCTGGGCGCCAATTGCTTTCCTCTCTCTGGCAGCAGCTTTTGGCAAAAACTTAATTCACTTGAACGAGGCTAAGGTAACTAGGAGTTTCTAATGGTTCATTTTTAATTAATTATATAAAAAAGCTAAAAATTTAAAAATATTTCTAAAACCTATAATTATTTTTTGTAATTTAATGTTAGCCAAATAAATATATTATTTATTATATTATTTATATTTAATAATAAAGGCCAGTTTAAAATATATATTTAATGGAATTTTATTTACAATACATTTGATCACATTCACAATCAAATTTTAATTATTTTTTTAAATGGATTAAAATTAAAATAAGCTTGTATTCTCATTTAAATAATTGGACTTTGATTTACATATTTATTTTATTCAAGTTATCAGATGGAATTTAAATTTAAATAAGAGACCTACTCTTTAAAAAATCATTTTGAGTTTCGCAGGCAATAAATGCAGCTGTTTAGTTTGTATTTTGTATTGATCAAAATGTTGTGAGGTGTGCTATGTATTTTTTACCATTGTAGTTGTAGCAATAAATGATATCAACTCCTAAAATGGTCACTGATGTGCTTATAGGTGCTGACCATCTTCATCCTGCCCCTGAACAGCTGTGCCAACCCATTTCTCTACGCCTTCTTCACCAAGCAGTTTAAAAAAGATTGTGTTTTGCTGTGTCGACGACTTGAAGATTCCTCAATAGCCAGGCATTTCTCACAGGTATCTACTAGAATATTAAAGGCTGTCTAAAATGGGGGATGAGAACATGTTACTATAAGAAGACGATACAGGCAATAATTGTCACAACAAGTAGTCGCACATCATAAAAAAAAACGAGACCTTTCCTATGGAAACCCCCTATGGTAAAAATAAAACAATGCCTATAATGTTACAAGAAAAGTTATAAACTATGACAGGTATTTTGAATTGACTTAAAACATCTTATCTAAGAAATATTACATATAGCTGTAATACCACTTGCTTACAGCATTAACAGTTGTAAGTACTTTGACTATTTCATTGCCATAAGGTTATGTTTATGTTATCTAAAGAAAATTCCACATGATACACTTGTTAGTCCACTACTGCTTGGGGTACCTTTCTACATAATGTTCCACATAATACACTGTTTGGGGGAGCTTTGTAATTTAGGTTCTACAATGTACACTTTGAGAACCTCTGTTTGAGCTGAGTTTTTTCCTGACCTGTGCAGGCCAGTCAGCGCCATGTATCGTTGTCATGGAAACACCAGCGCAGACCTTCAGCTCTACACAGCCTGATGGGGGAGGGCAAGTCCAATAACAGCCAGAATATCTCCTCTGGGGGGAACAGCTATGGACTGGTCAACTACAACTCAGAGGTAAGTCAGCTTTGTATTATATAGTTTCATTTCCTTTCTTAGATGGGATATGAAAGTAGCACTTGTTTGATTATTTTCTTTTTTTAATGCAGTATAAAAATATCACTAGTTTGATTGTTTTGTTGCCTCTTAGATTCTCTAGGAAATAGCACTAGTTTGATTGTTTTATTGCCTCTTAGATTCTCTAAGAAAAAAACTAGTTTGCATTCTATTCTTTTTTAGATTCAATATGAAAATAGCACTAGTTTAATTGTTTTTTTAACTCCTTATATCCAAACAGAAAAAAGAAATATAGTTTTATTACATTCTTTTCTTTCTTGGATTCAGAAATAATAGCACTAATTTGATTGATTTCTTTCATTTCTTAGATTAAATAAGAAAATAGCACTAGTTTGTTTTATTAACTTTCTTAGATTAAATAAGAAAATAGCACTTTTTTTCCTTTCATTTCTTAGATTAAATAAGAAAATAGCACTAGTTTGTTTTATTAACTTTCTTAGATTAAATAAGAAAATAGCACTTTTTTTCCTTTCATTTCTTAGATTAAATAAGAAAATAGCACTAGTTTGTTTTATTAACTTTCTTAGATTAAATAAGAAATTAGCACTGTTTTTTTTCCTTTCATTTCTTAGATTAAATAAGAAAATAGCACTAGTTTGTTTTATTAACTTTCTTAGATTAAATAAGAAAAAAGCACAAGTTTTTATTCTTTCATTTCTTAGATAAGTTCTGGCAACAACAAAGACATCAGGAAAGAATCCATGAAATGTGAGAAATATGTCAGCACCTACCCAGGTAGAAACTGCCAGTCACGAGCAGTCATCAGTCACAACGGTTACGCTTACAAGTACAGGCCGTGTTCAGGTGTGGAGGACGACTACTACGTGAAGAATGGGGATGTAAGCAGGTGTAAGGAGAGTATGATAGATGAGGCTCAGGTAAGTGCTTGGTGTTTAAATCATCGGGATATGTTAGATGTAAGGTGTGGAAAAATCATGGAGGAAAAATCTAAAGTTGTAACATATTGACTTAAATTATGGGGGGGGGGGGAGTGGTGGTGGGTCTAAGAGAAGGATGACTCTGGTGGTGAAGGCATAAGTGGAGGAGAGAGGGCTATTTTGGTGGCGGGTGGTTAAATGTCTGGTGCTTTGGGGACATTTTTTTCTCTGCCTTTTTTAAAAACTTAATATTTTTGTATAACTCAATCCAACTTTTTGTGTGTATGCATATATACATACACACACACACCACACTTTCTTTTTTATTCAAAATGTATTTGTCAGATAAATATATTCACATGTGAAGGCATTAGTCTTACATTGCCACAAGTGAAGACATTTGTCTTACATTGTCACAAGTGAAGACATTTGTCTTACATTGCCACAAGTGAAGACATTTGTCTTACATTGTCACAAGTGAAGACATTTGTCTTACATTGCCACAAGTGAAGACATTTGTCTTACATTGTCACAAGTGAAGACATTTGTCTTACATTGCCACAAGTGAAGACATTTGTGTTACATTGTCACAAGTGAAGACATATGTCTTACATTGCCACAAGTGAAGACATTTGTCTTACATTGCCACAAGTGAAGACATTTGTCTTACATTGCCACAAATGACGACATTTATCTCACATTGCCACAAGTGAAGACATTTGTCTTACATTGCCACAAATGAAGACATTTGTCTCACATTGCCACAAGTGAAGACATTTGTCTTACATTGCCACAAGTGAAGACATTTGTCTTACATTGCCACAAGTGAAGACATTTGTCTTACATTGCCACAAGTGAAGACATTTGTCTCACATTGCCACAAGTGAAGACATTTGTCTTACATTGTCACAAGTGAAGACATTTGTCTTACATTGCCACAAGTGAAGACATTTGTCTTACATTGCCACAAGTGAAGACATTTGTCTTACATTGTCACAAGTGAAGACATTTGTCTTACATTGCCACAAATGAAGACATTTGTCTTACATTGCCACAAGCGAAGACATTTGTCTTACATTGTCACAAGTGAAGACATTTGTCTTACATTGCCACAAGTGAAGCCATTTGTCTTACATTGCCACAAATGAAGACATTTGTCTTACATTGCCACAAGTGAAGCCATTTGTCTTACATTGCCACAAATGAAGACATTTATCTCACATTGCCACAAATGAAGACATTTGTCTTACATTGTCCTTCCAGATTATACTGCACCAAGATTTCTACTCACACAGTGGATCTGACACAATGCCTAGGACGTCGGAAACATTTGTTGAGCCTGAACTAGACAACGAGGAATCTGGGTCAAAACAGCACGCAGCCGCTGTATCCATCTGCAGCGGGAACAGCCGCTCACCTTGCTGTGTGAGACACGGTGGTCAGGATATGGGGGATTCAGTTGTCCAGCATACTAAAGAAACAAACGGTGAAATAGTGATCGCATCAAGTCCAGTTAGTAAGAAGGAGAATAGAAGAAACAAACCTCACAAAAAAAGCAAGTTGGTGAAAACAAATGAGACGAGTACTGACAATAAATCACACGTGAGTGTTATCAATGAGGAGAATATTTTTACAAGCAAGCTAAACGAGAACACAGCAGAATCTGTGTCTAGCGAGGATGTTCAAGTATTCTTTGATGAATATTTAGAAAAAAAAGCTGTGGAACAACCGAAAATACCCATCACGAGAATTACTATCAACGGGAAGGAAATTGAAGATCTTGATGATGAAATTCAATATTTCCACAAGGAAGGCGCAGGACTTCGGAAAAATGGTATCAATACAGAACTTAATAATCAGGTGGATAATTCAAGAGTTAGAAGACTGACGAAACAAAACAATGTAGAATCAAGCACGGCTAAGGTTTCTAATGTTTCAAAAACTATAGTGAAAGCTAGTGTGCACTCTCCCCGTGAAGCTGACACACATGAAGAATCACAAACGGTTCTTAATAATATCGACAGTAAAGTAATGATTGAAAAGGAAAACAATTCCAACTCAGATCTTCAAGGGAATCCCCAGTCTAATAAAACATGCACATCAGGGCATAGAAGGAGAAGCAAGCACTCAAGGAAACATCACTGCCGTCACCATCATAAAGACACGCAGCCCAAGATTATCATCTCCCTTCCTAATGGTTGCAGCGTGGTGGAGGGCGGTGATGACTCGACCCACCGCTGCTCAAGGAAGCAGAACAAAAGCTCGTGTAAATCCCAGAGGGGGAAATCTCTTGATAAAAAATTCTTCCACAGCTACGCAGCCGTGGACAAGAGCGTCCAGCTGCGGCTGTTCCAGGAGTCGATAGCCTCCCACAGCTACATCAGCAAGAGCAACTCTGTCGTGGAGCTGACCCAGTTCCAGCTGGACGATGCTGCCTCTCCACATCCACCCGTCATCAAGCGCCACAGCCTCTCTCCCAAACACGAGGGGTTCCTGCTCCTCAGGAACAAAACCGGAGACTACGCTCTACAAAATTTGTACCACCAGTACCACAGCGTTTACCCAGACTTTCAGTCTTACACCAGGCTTGACCGAGACCAGGATGGGCATTGTCCAGATCTCCCGCCACGGCTCAGTTTTGAGAAATATTTTAATACCACGCCCTCTGTAGTACCAGGGAGTTCCATCCACGCCGCTCCATGCGACAGACCCCACGCACAAGCCACGCCCAGCTATAGCAGCTTCCAGGAGCCTGGGAACAATACGGATCAAGGTCAAGATGGCCATGACCCAAATCAGGATTCTCTATCTTCTGCTAAGACGTCTGAAGATAAGGAAAGCGGATTCCATTCTGAAGTTTAAAATGGATTCTGTTTTCCTCATGATCCAGCCATCCAGGAAAATGGATCTGTGCTTAGTGCACCAAAAAACAATGAAAACCTGGTAATTGTTTCTGGGATTTTCTGAAAGCCTTATAAATAAAAAATTTAAAAAAGTGTGTATAAATCTTCAGTAGAGCAACTGTATTCTGAGACGGAATGTGAACACTTGCCTGATTTGTGATGTAATTAATGTAATCAATTTGGTACATTAATTATTATGTTTTAAAGCAAGACTTAGCTTTGTTTAAATCATCTCTTTGTGTTGCTTTAACATTCAATCAAGTACCAAAGTGGAAAAAAACTAACTAAAATGAATTTTATTTTATATTAAGTGACATTGGTGTGTCTATTGTGGGAGGAATATGGTGCTTCATTATTTTTAATATGGGTATGTGGAGAGTCAGGTCATCTTTTTAAAAATTAAATGTGTAAGTTCCAGGCTCTGAATTGAGTAGCATCATGGCTTGATAAGGATTTTCCCAGTTTTCTCTTCAAATACTCCATCAGTAATGAGGTACAATAGCAAACGAAACAAACTAATTGCCATCTGAAGAAGAGATTCTCCAGAGAAAATGGAGACATATTATCCACACACTCACCTGGAATTCACAAGGCAAAAGGAAAGGAAGCAGACTAAGGAAGATCTGAAAGACACCAAAAAGATTGGACTTCCCCTGGGGACAGTAGGAGAGACAAGCCCAGGACAGAGGCGCCTGGAGAGTTCTGGTCAGCTGCCTATGTGCCATGAGGTGTGACACTTTAGCCTAACCAAACCTAACCATTTACTTTAGGCTACCTCCCTGCTAAAAATATTTAGTTGGCTCAGGCTCCAACTTGACTGATATTTTTTTTTACCATAGAACAAATCTGCCAGTTTCTAATCACTTTCCCATGTTAATTTGTAAAATTTTATAACATTTTACTTTGAATTTATGTTATATCATGTTAACTAATTTTTTTCTCTAAAAATTGTATCAATAGCTTTCAAAAATATGTGCCTAAATTATTGTTGTTTATTTAATAAGTTTATTTTCTTGAGATTCTTGGTTGCTCACAAAAACCAACCAATATTTCTTTTCACATATTACCATTCCAATAACATTTTTTTTTGTATGATGCAGTTTTAAGACTAAGAACATATTTTAAGATGTTTATCAATTTCATTAACACTTATGCTTCAGTGTGGTATGTGGTAATTTGTTTGAAATTTCAGTCCAAATTTATTTTTACTGTCTTGTCTCTGGTCCTCCAAAGTTAGAACAGCCAATCAAAGCTGAAAGAGCATTTACCAAATATGCGGGCATAGTTAACAAAAAGAATCAATTTTTTTTTACATCACTTAACTGTTGATGGCGTTTTAAAAAAAAAAATATTGTAAATGTCAAGTTATTGATTTTAAAAATTAAATTTAATAATTCTGCAACTTTTTTGAGCAATGATTAGGAACTCTAATTTAAGCAACAGAGAGCTAACATCACTTGCCTTGTTTCCCTTTCAAACCTGATGGTCTACGGGGCAAGTGAAGTAGAGTTCACTTGTTTCTGTGACCTCGGAATATGAAGAGATAGTGTGGTCAGCACTATGCCCAGCCGCCTTTACTTTCCCTAACGTGAGTTAGGTACCCATCAGAGTTGGGTGGACTCAGGGACGGTCTACTGACTTGAATCCGTATTTGAACTCGAGACTTACGGGTTAGCAGTCCAGATCTCCACCGCTAGACCACTCCGTCCCATGCTAACATCACTAAAGTGTGAAAAAATTTTTAACAAGATGAGGACAACTTAATAAAAAAAACTATAGGTTAAGAGGCTGATCAACTAGGAGGACCACACAATGTTTATGCTTTTTTCATACATCAATTGTTCAATGGAAAAGTATCAGTATTACTTGTTGCTTACAATTTGTTAAACACCATTCCACCTTTGTAATTTCTTGTAGTTTAAAAAAAAAAGATTTGTTAAGGAGTAATTTTTAACAATTTATTTGTAATTATTTGTTGATTCAGTTCTGTTTTCCACTGTTGAGTGTATGCACAGGCAGAATTTATGCACTTTTAAATATTTATTTCTATAATCTGGGTTACCTCCCTTGAAGACAGTTTTAATTGTGTCCCTTTTTACACAAAATATTGTTTTCATCTTCCAAACTATTTTAAACCATGTAACTGTCACCTGACTTTTTTGCACCCAATTCCTCAATGTTCAAAATTTAGTTTGTTTCCCATTGACAAAAATTTAAATGTAATTATTTTGCTCTAGTGGAGTGAATGCAAGCCACACTGGAACCTGTAACTGCTATTGATTTTATAATCAAATAATTCTAGCCAAAATTTCTGCAACAATGGACTTAATCTAATTGGCATTTTTGTTAAAAATTGTTTATTAATATTTAATTAACTGCTAAAAATGGCATACCAGGATATCAAGAAAAAAAATTTTTTTTTTTAGTTTTCAGTATAGCATTTATAATTTGTTTTAGCTTTTCAAAAATATCAAATCTTTATAAAGTCGTTTAATACAGCTGTTAATTAGTACAGTTCAATATTCAAAGTTCTAGCTGTATAAAACTTTTCCACATACTTTAATATATCATAGTCATCTATAATCCCCACTGTACCCAAGACACATGGGGCCGATTAAGTAGAGTTCAATTTATACTACCATGGCATATGGACTTTGTTTCCCTAATGTGAGTCAGATACCCATCAGAGCTGGGTGGACATTTTACAGACTGAATCTGAACACGAGACTTTCAGGTAAGCTGTCATAAGCTAATTCTATCAGGACTGATTGAAATCATTTTTTAATTTAAGTAAACAAAATATTTGTTTATACATGTGACTGACAATTGAAGTTTTTCTTTAACTTAATTCACTATGAGCTAAGGAATGTCATGCTTTTTATAGTTTTAAATTTGTCTCATTTTTCAAAACAGCACATCATTTTTATACCTATAAGTAATAAACAGAATTATTAATAAATGTTTTTGTTTTGTTATCTTCAAATAAATTTTTACTTTAATCAATTTTACCCTTTATGAAGAACAAGGAAAGTCCCACTAAAATGTTAAATTTAAATCTTTAGATCATAGAATCATGTCCAGCATGTGTGCAATTGCTAGTTAATCTAATATTTGGAAAAAAAAACATGTTTGATGCTAATATTTATTTTTTAAATTATCAGTTATTCACATTATTTTGATTTAAACTGCAGAAGTTAAATATTTGTACAAGCTTAAAACACACTTGTAATACAAGTCTACATCAGGTACTAAAGGTTCTATTCTATTAATTGATAAAATCAGCATAGATTTGCTAACAAGTATGGAATGTCAGACTGTTTAAAAGTATTTATTTTAGGCTCTATAAACCTTGGGTGATAGTAGATAAGATCACAAGTTTAAACTAACCTACATACATGAAATATAACCAAAGAAATTAAGAATTGACATTTCTTAAACTATGCCCTAAGTAAGGATTGATTCAGACACCTTCATGTGTTTAAGCAAAGATCAACCCAAACCACTAATTCAAAGTAACTAAATCAAGCAGTACTTGCAATTTTGTAATGGATAAATAATTTTTTAAGAGGGTATTTTTGAATACATCGTAAACTACCCAACAAATACAAATAATTTTAAAGAACAAAGTAAAAAATGTAATCATTTATTCGTGTTTTCCATAAATAGTGGAATATTTCTTGTATTATATGGTCAACAAGTTCTGATCTCCCAAACCCACATAACTTGTTGCCAGACAGTTGTACATGTAACATCATCAAGTTCTAAGGACATTTCATTGCATGTGAAAACATTGGAGAAATAAATAAAAACAGTAACCAAACACACAATTTCACAAACATTTTAATTACAAATTATCACTAGTGGTAAATGAATGCTAGGTGTGGCAGCACTATTTTTATAAATGCATCTCTGAAGGATGTAGTAAAATTAAGAGTCATATCTAAAATGTAGCAATCTACAAGTGAATTACAAAAATAGTTATTGCGGTTGACTTGATACACTAGTGCAAAAAATTCTTATAAAAAGATAAGTAAGAGTGCCAAATTATACCATTCATGTTTTTTATGTATTTTAACATAAGATCAGTATTTTCTAAATGATGAAACAAATACATTTAAATAACACATTTTTCAAGTTCTTTAAAACTAAATTAGATGTTATGTATTAAACTGGTGGGTTAATTTTATTTTGCAACAAATTAACAAAACAATAAATCCACCTAAAAAATCCTTGCTAACAAGATATGCCTAATGATTGACCATGGAATAGACAAAAATATTCATCTGGTTCAAATTTTAAAAATAAGAGCCAGGTTCCTAGGAACTTCAAATAACTTTGACAACATGATATATAGCAACGCCTATTGAGTGTATTAGAGCAAACAATATCTGAATATGAGTGTGTAGGTAATTTGAGTAATTGTTTAGTTTTTGTGGAAGAAATAGTTTCAACAGCATTAAAGAAATGATCACTAGGTTGTGTTCTGACATTCTACACTGATCCTCTCACATACATACACCAACAGCACCAAGTGAAATGGGGTAGATACAACCCAATTGCAGAATAAATAAATTCGAGGCATTACGTCAATACTGGCATAAAATGTCAGGTTTATATAACTGTACAGTACCAAGCAAACATCAATTGCTCTGGGCTGGCTACTGTTGTGTTGTAGTCAACTTTAAGAGTTTGATATGAATTAATCAATTTAAAATCCAAGTGTATACAATTTTTTCATCATACTCTCAATTTATGGTATGCAGGGTTATGTCAAATCAATAACTATGAGAAAACTATTTCATAACAAACATGAACACATAGTCAGCTCCTTCATTAACTCCAGGTAAATATCATGGAACAGCTGTCACTTAATCAGTATAATAAGCCAGCTCCATTCGTTTTTTTTTTATATTTTTGTTTTCTATAACAAGTGGTTTAAAATTTCTTATATAAAGTAAGACATTAAAAATTTTCTATTGAATTATCAAATATAAAAATTTTTAAAAAACTAAGCATGCAATTGAAAAATAACATTCTGTACAAGTGACAAAAAAATTCAACGCTTTGTGTGTATTTACATTATCTACAGCTCAATTCTGATAACTTTATCAGAAACAAAAAGAAAAATATTGAAAAATAAAAAGATTTTAACCTTCTCTATTGTTTTGTTTTTCATTCTTAGTTTTAAATCTAAATTAATTAACCTTTTATTTAAGAAATTACTATCTTGAAAAAATTAATCATGTTTAAAATGAGAAACACTTTTGGCATTTGTCTCATAATAATAATAAAATGGCACCCAGTTAATATTCTAATACTTTTAAAAATGTCCATATTAGTATAATACAGACTTGAAGTGAAAATAGTTGTCAGGGAAAAAATTAAGTCCTGGTAAACTTGTTTTATTGCTTACTTGCCAGGGAAAAAACTGGGATTAACTAAGCCTAAAACTTTTGGAATAATATAAAAAATATCTTTCACAGTGCTCACCTGATCAAGATAAGTACAACAATTGCTAATACTCGTTTGAAAACAGAAAGGTCTGTGGTAACTATTATAAAAGCGGGCAAAAGTGTACGCTAGCTTACTTCTATTTGATTTAGGAATTCGTATATCAAATACTTTCTAAATCATAGTCATAACTTCAATCCTATAATATGCAAGCAGTGTTAAGTAGAGCTATTAAAAAGACCTCCATTTAACACTTAAATCGCCTAAAAATATTTTGGAACCTGATTAATATTAAAAAGTGCCTAAAATCGTACATACATGGTTCCATTTAGACAAAATTCCCTATGGACCTTAAGTAAACAGATAATCCTGAGAAATTCCAGGCTAGCCTGCAGGTTAAAACATTTTTACACAAGCTGCAGTTAAATCAAATTATACAAGCATTTTAATGCTGTATCAAGTATATACATACACCCTAAACCAACCCAAGGGTTTTAAAATGTATTACAAATCATACAAGTGGTTCAGTTAAAATCTTATTTAAGCATTTCTAAGGTCAGGTGCATTACACATTTCTCTCCAGGTGAATTAGCCCTGGACCATGAAGGTGAGGAATGGTAAGAGAGAACCTACTAAATGTGCATTATAAATCTACTCATTCATTGTACACTGGAACCATGTATTCATATTCACATATACAAGTTTATAGTAATGCAGGTGCATTAAATGAAGCTCAATTTAATTATAGGAACTACAAAGTCATCTAAGTCTGCCGTACCACATTTTCCCTTGTTTAAATTTGACCAGTATAACAGTTAAGAAAAATACGCCTAATAACCTAATACCACTCCTTTCGAATGATTTTCAGACTAAATATTGCAAACAGTGAAAAGGCTCAACAAACTAATGCCCGACACAAAACTTACAGAAGTTGATTCATGGACAGTCCAGTCTCAAAGCTGCTGAGAAGTTGCAAAAATATACACTCCCACCTAGCTTGCTTGGATACTTGTATAAACAATGCCTTTAGTTTTTATGTCGTGCAATTGACAATTTCTTTAGGGTGCACTTTAAGGCAAAGTCTGCCATCAAAAAATCCTTCTAGGAGTATAATCCAAAACTTTAATAGTTGTACTCTAGAAATTCACGGAATCAAAACGTAATTTCCAATGTGAAAAATCAAGCCACATGTTCCAAAGAAATATATCCAAATCCAGAGGAATCACAAGTTTAACCAGTATGAATGGCTTCTTTAAATGCTTCACTACACAACATTCACAATTTTAAATAATGGCTTCAAAGCCAGTATAAACAACTGAATGCTTTAATCCCCCTGAAACACCTTCCAATGGTCACTCGTCCACTCTAGGTCGTTTAGCCGCTGAAACTCCATCAGGTTCACTTTCACCAGAAACTTCTGGGTCTATCTTCTGTTGCAGAGCACTGAAGCAGGGGGAAGGGTTCTCCTTCACAAAGCTGAGATACTGTGGCATCAGGCGTTCAACAATTGACTCAAACAATGACCTCACAATCTTTCCTGCCTTCCCAACCTCAGAACCTGCCTGTAACAAAATAAAACGACAAAATATATTTTTAAAAGCCAGTCTAGAAAGGTTAAAAAAATTATGGCCACAAAATCTAAGTTACTACTAACAAAATTTAATAACATACTAGAAAGATAATTTTAACCGTACCTTGTTGTAGATAGCACAGTTGACAAACACCTGACGAAGGTCATACAGAAATCCTTTGATACTATGGTAATGATTATGGTGTCTGCGTTGAAGTTTGCACTTTATCTGAGTGAAGTCCATGGGCTGGGTTATTATTTTGTAATAATTTGGGACTTGCTGAAAAAAATAATTTGAAATGAAATACTATATATGAACAAGAAACATAAGATTATATCCTATTTGTACAACATTAAAGTGTTAGTAGAAATATATTGTCTTAAGCAAAGATCTTTAATGATTCTGATTTCCCATGATTTGTTGCAGCTGAACAGAAAAGACCACAAAATAAAAATCATACTAAAAAACTTAATTTTACTTACCACTCTGTTCACAGGCTCCTGAAATGGTACACTGGAAGGGTGACAGAATAACTCTAAAAGGATCCGTTCACATACCTGAAACAATCACATTAAATATTAATGAAGGTTTTAACTCTGTCTTTAGAAAATCACTTGTGGCAACAGTATGTTATTGAACCTGATAGTAAAAATTCACTAAGTCTAGATCACTGACTAGAACAAGGCTGTTTTAAATAAATAGCTTCTTGAATTTGGTAGACATTTTTTTTAAACATTTGCTAACCTTGACATCATTTTCTGTGAGTCCTCCAGGTGCTTTACGTTTGCCATCATCAGCACTAACAGGGTTATCTCCCTCACATATAGTGCAAACAAATGAGCCACTGCAAAAGATTCGAACTAGTTATAGTTCAGCATCTCAAATTTTAAGCCAAAAAAAAAAAATCAAATACAAGTGTCTAAAAATAGTACTAACCATATAATAGCTACAAATGCCATGTTAAAAAAACAATGGCTAAGTAGGGTTAGAAAGAATTTTTATTTATCAGTCCTAACAGACTATCCTGATAAACTCCTTTCTTAAAAAGGTTTCAAATATAAATATTCAGTTTTATAACAGCACAACAAACCTTGGAACAGCTGACAGTTCTGGGATGTGACACTGCAGATGGAAGACCCTAGGACACTTGTCACAGCACAAGACATCCCCACCATTATGGCAGCAAGCACAGTAGTCATCGTTGGGGTCACCCTGAGCATCAGCCTGAGAGAGAGAAAATCCTGGCATACTGTTGCCACCTTGCCAGTTGTCCCTTAGCTCCTGGTCTGTAGGAGAATGTGGTCCTGATAAAAGGACCAAACGAGATTTATGAATACATTTGTTTTATAACACCCCAGGCAAAGATTTTAATAGTTATACTTACTAAATAGAAAATAAATATTTTACATACCATTTGGATAAATGAAAGCTACTCTTATTAATTTTCATTCACATTCAATTAAATGCTTTTACTTTTATTTATCAGGTACAACTACAATTTTAAAGTACATTCTTTCATTAATTATAATTTTGATATAGATTACAACTGTCTTTTCTTTAATATTTTGTAAAATATTTGTACTTTTCATATTTAACAATAATTTTTTTTTAATACAGTCATACAAATAAAATATGAAAGGAGACTAACTACCATCATGCATTCCATCAATGCCACTGTCGTGATGAGAGGGCCCAGGTGATGTACGAGGAGTGTTGTGACCACTGTCCAAACTTCTAGACTTGGGCCCACTTATCTGCTCTAAATTGTCGCTCATATCCATAGGAACAGCTCTGATTACTTCATCTAAGTTGCGTTGCATTTCCTAAATAAACGAGTTAGTTATTAATCTGTTTTATAACTATTATAAGATGTAGTGAACAGAAAATTATATGGTTTCCTAAATAGACTAGTAGTTGATCAATTTTTTTCTATTATAAGAACAGAAAACTGTAATGCAGTTTAAAAAAGGTTATCAATTAAAATAAATCAAAAGTTCTAATAATATACTTACAAGAACTGTTTCAGACTGCTTCTGAAAAAATACAAACAAAACAATGTAATTCAACAGTTTTAATCATAACCAAAGGCTTATAAAACTTAACAGTGAAAAGTACGGAATCTAAGAACAACTAAGCTGGTGGAAGTGGAGACCTACCATAGGACTAGTTTGAAAGGCTGGTGATCTTTCAGTCTTCATGCTGGACGACATAATCACACAATCTGGTGAGTGGTCACGTTTCTCTTTCTTAACATCAATCATGGCTGTACCCCCACTGTAAAAGAAATAAAATTTTAATAACCACATGTCCAAGTTTCATAGATACATTTCATAACAGTAATTTAAAAATGCTATCCCCACTCTCAAATTATTTGGTGTAATTATGCCGAAATAAGTAGAAACCAATCCATCTCTAAATAAAATGCACAAAATTTTATTTGAAAAAAACAAACAGACCTATCAGGTCTAACTGTTCCATCGTACATCCCAGCACTGGCAGGTCTAGCTGGGTCAGGAGTGCTGTGAGCTGATCGTGGAGTTCCACTGGCTTCCCCACCCATACGATACTGGGGTGGACTGTGCATACTTTGATTTCCTTCAATTAAAGAATTAAGACCAAATGATAAATACACAAAATTTTGCAAGGTAAAATTTTTAACAGGAACGACACATTTGGCTCATCTCAATCAAGTGACAATATCCACTTACTGTGGTCCATCTGGCCAGGGAAAGCAGGCTGTGTTGCTGGTCTGTGATGTAGTCTCATTGGGGTAAATGCTGGTCTGGTAGTCTGGAATTTTATTCAATTAGTCAGCAAACCTAGCTTAGTGCAAGCTAGTCTTATTTTTAAAATCGTGTTGTTTATCAATATTGTTTTAAGATACTAATTCTACTATAGTTAATTACTGGTACCTAGTTTAGGAAACCACTGTTTATTTGCTAACTTTTGAACATATTGTGAACACAAAAAATTTTATGTTTATTTTCACGGATATGCAAATGCATGAGCAAAAAAAAAAAAAAAAAGATGCACAAGATAGATAAGGTGTAAAATTACCTGTTGCTGCTGCTGGTGTGGTGTGAGTAGTTGTCCTGCAACAAAGTGACCAGGGAAAGTAGATCCTGATATAGCAGGTGGTGCTAAAGATAATTAAGAAATAATTCTGTCAAACATGCTAGGAGATCATAAAAAATATTTCACCAAAACTATGACAAGACTAAAAAAACTGATGCAATATAACCATGATAAAACTAAAATAAAATGTTAAAAAACTGACGTGACAGTTATCAAGAGTATAAAAAAATTCTCACTCTGCCAAGAATGTCCCATGCTACTCCCCTGGGGGCGTCTGTTTGATGGCAGTGTAAGCTGAGGTGGCAATGACCCCGCCCCTCCAAGTGCTGACATGGTCATGTTGGGCGGAGCTGAGTTTTTAGTTGACACTGTCTGGATAAACTTTGACCAATCTGACTGTACCCTCTGACCAGGAATGGGCTGGATAACAATATTTAGAATGAGTGCTGGTGCAATAGATTATATCAAAACTTTATAACACAAAACTTTAAACCAGACAAAATTCAAAATGAAAGTAGATTCTACCTGATTGGCCATATGCTGTAAATGTGGACTAGTTGCTGTCATGGAACCAGAACGAGACTCCTGATAAGCACTGCTTGGGCCTTGACGAGCTGCCTGGCCGTTTTTGTCAGGTGGGTATCTAACACCATTGACAAAGATAGCCCCTATTTTGTTGAGATTGCCAAGGAGCCAATTTACATCATGTTTATACTGAATTAACAAAGTTCCTTTCAATGACTGAGGATCAACCTGTTAAGAAATTAAAATGTTTTCAATACTAGTAAAATGAGCATTAGGGCTTTGAAATAAATGGTTATGAAAATACACTAGAAATGTAACATTAAGCTATGTCAGATGAGTATAAAATAATCCACAGAAGAACAAATAAGACATGAAACCAATAAGGCTTTCTAAAATTGAGGTAACGCCTCTTTATTCTCAAAAATTCAAAGACTATTTCCTGAAAGTATTATCATTATCAAAATTTTGTGTGTATCAGTAGCATTTTCATGCCTACAAGTTTAGAAATGAAGTAACTACCTAGAGAGGGGGATAATGTGCAGACAGAAGAGAGGGGACTAAAAATTGTGATAATCAAGTTGATTTTTTTCCATAGGTTGGCATGATCTACAAATGACCACATGAGAAAACCGCTTCAAAAATCTTACCTGAGTATGGTAAACCTTCCTGCATTTAGTCTCAACATTGCCTTTAGAGTACAAAAGGGACATGCTAGAACCTTCATTTAATATGTCCTCCATAAACTGGATGCAGTGGTCAAACTTGCCCACCAAGTCAGAGACATCATCAATTTCTTTATTTAGACGCTTAGTGGCAGCATCAGTAAATGATGCCAAATTGGATAAAACTCCCCACACAGCCTGAGTTGAACGAAATAAAACAAAATAATTAAAATAGATAAAAGAAAAACTGATAAACAAAGCTCCCAACATGGCTATTAAAGTGGGACATTTGTGGTCTAATGGTGAAGCATTTGGCTGTTAGCCACAAAGGACAAGACTTGGGACATCAGTTCAGAATTGTGATTCTAGTCCACTCAGCTCTGATGGGTAAATGACTTGCATTGTGGAAAGAAAAGGTGGGCATAGTGCTAACCATACCATCCTTTCATATACCTAGGTCAAGAAACATGAACTCTATCTGCTTAATAATGGATAGCTAGATCAAAAGAGGAATCTTTACTTTTACGACTATTACAACATCTTGAGATTTGTAGAAAATGAACTTCAAAATTTCAAATCCTTAAAAAGGAAAAATTGCAGGGATAAATATTTATACAAGTTCAGAACTACATCTACAGCTTTTAGCCATTACCTGTCTGATTCCCTTGACTAGAATGTCTGCCTGTTTGAGTATCTCTTGCTGCAGATTGTCTTTCTGCTCCTTGCAGTTGTGCAGCTTCTGTTCTATCTCCTCCCGACTAGTTGCCAACTTGGCCCTCTTCTCTCCCATTAGTGCCAGGCTACCTTTCAATCTTGCCTTGTACTGTTCTGCAGCCTGAGACAGTACATTGAGTCAATGAGATACTAGAAAAACTTATCTAAGGGAACAAATTTACATGGTATAATTAAAGGCATACTAATGTTCAGCTGACTATAAACCTAAGATCCATGTTTTTTTGAAAGGGTACTAATGTTTTTTTTACTTATTTCATGGATAAGTTTTATGTATTTTATTTTTTATACTTGGAATAAATACATAATGTATAATAATACTGATCATGCAAATTAACAGATCCATTAGCAGAATATTTATCTGCAGCAATTTAAAACTTCATTAACAGTCTAGAGAAAAAAAGTACCACATGATAAGTTTATGGTGCCTTAAAAGTTAAAGCCACTACATAAACAGTTCAAGTTTTACTAAACACTATAGTTTCAGCACTATTGTCTACACACAGAAGCCCTAGATATGTCAAGTACACTAAAACAAGTAGTGACAAAACATACCCAAACACATGTCATGCTCTAGTAGGCACACATTCTTCAAAAAATCATTTGTCTTTATACAGTGAATGGATATGACAACCAGATAGCAAATGATAAACTGACAGGTACACATATAAAATATAATTATAAACAAAGTCTAGTTTCATGGACTTACCTGGTCAAGAAACTGGTATTTGTGTTCCTTATGGTCCATCAACTGACAATCCCTGCAGGTCAGCTTTTCACACTTCTCACAGAAGAACTTGAGCTGCTCTTGTTTGTGTTGTTTGCATGTCATGAGTTGTTCCCATGGTGATTTACTGGTCACTACCTTCACCTTAAATCATAAACATACAGATTTTATATGTATTCTGGGACATTGTTAAATATAAAAGCAAGACAATTAACAGATAAATGGAAAAAGATGTGGACAGTATCTAGAGTTTGTTCCCAAATACAAGCCCATGAAAATGGATGAGCTCATTTAATTGTCCAGAAAAAAGTGCACAGAATTATCTGCAAAATATCTTCACAAGGATAGGTCACAGAAATGGTTAAGCTTACTTAAAACATACATTAAATGTGAACATGAATGTAAACACAGCAATAGATTTAAGACTGTGTAATAAAAAGGAAACATGTTTAAGTATTCAGAATAAGAATATTCAGGTACAAATAAGTGAAATACACAGCAAGCCACTAAGTGTTGTATAAACCTTTTCAATATATTGACAAGATAATTATATTATACGGTTCACTGGGGGAGGGGGGGATGTCCTGTGAACTCACAAAAGTTTATTTCAAGTACACCATGCAGACAAATTTTCCTTACTATAAAGAACATTTACAAAATTGCTTAATCACTATAAACTTGTTATCCTTAGTTAAAAATTACTGTCGTAAGTGCTATGCACCAGCCTGCCTCCACTTACCAATTACAAATTTTTGACATGTAAATTATACCCTGCCGAACCTAATCTCTCACTCAAAGATTTCTCAATCAACCACAATAATAACACCATAATTTATTTAAATCAATAAATTGACTTTGTTGTTTGGCTTTGAAATGTATAATAATTAAAAGGGTGAAAAAAAAATATATTGATAACTAGAAAATGTATAATTAAATGGAGAAAAAAAGAATCAATAACTAACAATCTTTTCCCCTGCTGTTGATTGTAAAATGAGCAATGTCCTCAATTATCCATGGAAGTTAATCAAATTACTGAAATGTCAATAAACAATTTAAACATGCTTGTAGAGTGACAGGTGTGTGACAGACTATCCAAACAAAGAAATCCAATCAATAGAAATCAACACAGATGCTTCCATTATGTGTAACAATATCAGAACTAAATAGGTAAAATTGTATACAACCACAAGATATTAACAAAGAAAACTCTTGTAGATACACTTGTGAACTTCATGTAAATGTGAAGCAATGAGTCACCAAAGAGAGATTGTCACTGCTACAAAGGTCAAAGCAAGAAATTCTCTGAGATAACCTTTGCATATTGATTGGACCCTGAAGGGGTACTAGGCAGTCATTGAAGACTCCCCACTGGTAACCTTGTTATTAACTACAGCAGAAGGTTAAAGGAAAAATCTGAAATCAGGTGCAAAATCACCTGACTGTTCTATGAACTAAATAATATGTATACTTTATGTATTCAAATCCTCTATGAATGATACATTAGAAAAAGCAACATTTTTAGAAAATAATCTCCCTATAATAATGTTCTACTTAGTGGAAAATGTGTTGAACAGGTGTAGGAAATAGATTGTGGGATAATATAGAACATATATTAAATTGTTTCTTATTACCAATGCACGACATTCCTGCACAAATTTAAATCTTATGTTAGGGGTACAATTTTCAAACTATATAAATTTGCCACTTTCCTTAAAATCATAAATAGTAGCTGAAACCAGCCAACAGCTCAAAGCGCAACTGGAGTCACATTTTCAAAATAAAGATGGTGATGAATTGTCAACAGCTGAATGGAAAAATATTTTTGAACATTCCGATATTACATGGGTACCCGACTCGTGTACAGTCCTGAGCATATTGCTGACCACACTAATCCTTTGTATGACGAGGTCACTAAACAGATGAACTAATTCATCTACCCCATTTGTCTTAGCAATAGGAAAAGATATCAAAACAAGTACTGAGCCCATCCAGCTCTGATGGGTACCTAACTCATGCTCAGGACCATGGTATCCTTTCATATGCATCGTCAGGTTTGAAAAGGTAGCTTTATTTAATTCCTTTTGGGATATTGATTAAAAAAAAACATGAACCCGCCTTACCTCATCCTTAGGAGAGATTGAATGGTCCTTAGTAATCCTGACACGCTTGTGAGCATCAACACAGCTATCACACAGCCATTCCTCACACTGCATGCAGTAGGATCCTGCTTCTTCCCCCTCATCACACGCCGTGCACATGTGCTTGATATTGGTCTGGGGAGAGGACGCCTGGTCAGGGTCTAGAGCTGCAAACATGTTGTCCATTAGACTTGTGCCTGGCTGGTCAATTGGATCCCGACATATAGGGCACTCTGAAATTAAAAAAACATGATCAGTATGGCTAAATGTAACTTAAATGATTTGACTAGTTTTTATTTGAAAAATACTATTTAAATAAAAATTATCACAGTCTGAAAGTTTTCCAGTGTTATTTGAGTGCTTTTCCAATTGTACAGGTCCTTTCTAATATGCAAGTGAAAACGAATCTTTATGTTAGTATATATTATTGTCAAAGTTATTTTAACAAACATCTGGTTAATCTAAAATCTATGCAGTACTCAGTGGATCAACAAAACTTCAAAATGGATCATTATAAAATTAGAATAAGCCCCCTTATTCAACTGAACCTCTCATGCAAGGTTGCCTTTTGAACAGCTGCAAATGGGATTTCCCAAACATAACCTAGTTGTCTTTCTTATTTTGCCAATGGATTGAGTGGAGTGAGGGGCCTGAACAATGATTCTAATTTCTATGTGAATATATTGATATGCTTTGCAATAGTTAGGACATATACAATCATCAAGCAAATCAATGTTATGGAATCTTTAGTTATTACTGTGATTTTTAATTATTGCAATTAAATAGTGATATTCACTATCCAAGAAAAAATGTAAACAAGGTACTATGGCACTTATTAAGATCTAGGCCTATTTACTGACTGGTTAGAGGTGACTGCTGCACTTTTCTTATACCTGTTATTAAGTAATCTAATTTAAGATGCTATTAGGCTATTAGCATTAGGTTATGCCCAAGGTAGCAACAGAACAGTAGGTACAAATCCTGATCATGTCTTGTCACCTTGTAAAATGTGAGTACAAAAAATAAAAATATTTTTAAAAATGTAAATTGGTGAAGTAGGGTCTACAAGAGATGTTTTTGTTTATTAATAGAACTGATTAATTTTAGAATCTAAAATAAACGGTTTAGGGCCTGATGATAATCTAAATTGATAAAACACAATCCACGCATTCTTTTTGGTGGTCAATAAAGGTTGTGTTGACAGTGAATAAACTACTAACTTGCTTAAAGGCGTCAGAATCTAAGTAAGACCTAAAGAATACTAAAGATGAATCTGTAACAAGAGATAACTAAAGTAGATCTAGATCTATTTGATTTTTTAGATTAGATTATTAGTTATTACACCTGGACTTAGGGTGTAGCTAGGGCTTACTAGATCTACATAGTAGCCTACATATTGTAGTATTGGTAGTTGTCTAGTACTAGATTCTAGATCTAGAGTCTAGATCTAATAGGCACAATTCTTACTTAAAATTTTAAAAAAAACTTAGACCCTAAGTTATTTGAATCAAAATGTTTGAACTGAAGTTTAACCATCATAGCTCTAGCTAGAATCTAAATCTAGAATCTAGTATTTATAGATCTGAAGATCTAGAGGTAATCTATCGTTTTAGGTACGTAAAATCGCCCGCGACAAGTAATGTGAAAAACAGGTGACTCACTTACATTTTAATAATTATTTCACATTTTGAGGAGGATTTATGTTTTAAAAATACAAAAATGTTTCCTTGTTTCATTTATGTACCTGTTTTTAAACAATTGAATTAAAACTTTTCAGTAATAAATGAACACTAATGATGTTTCCAACAGATGCTACCATGCTCATTTACTATAGCAGCCATCTTGTTAATGTTTTATTTTTATAGATTTATAGCGCGAGATTCAGGCGGAAGTCACTCTATTTTACAAATGGCTGCTGTTTATATACTATTATATAGAAATCTAGCAAATCTTGCTTGCAGACACTGCTGTTTAAAGTTAATTTCTGGCCTATATTGATATATTTAGCCATTGATTTAGGTTTATTATTCATTTAGGCCTATCTGTAATATTTGACACAAACATATCACAATATACTTCTATTACAGCCTTGATAATGAGGTAACGTTTTCGTACATTAATAGCTGCGGGCGATTTTACGTACCCAAACGATAGATTACCGATCTAGATCTAGATTACCTGTAACTGGTTTAGGTTTAATATCCACAATCTCGTGCTCTTCTTTATTTTTAGTTGAAAGCGACTTATCCACATCACTAGATGTATTCGTTTCCGATGGACCTGCCTCAATATTTTCTCCATTGATGTGACTTTCAGAATTCACAGCATCATTGTCTACACTTGAAAGCACTGCATCCACTTTATCAGATGTGGTGGCAGTAGTTGGCGCGGGTTTGGGGGATTCACTCGGTGCATCTGTCGCACTGCTTTGGGCGCTTTCAGCTAAATTTTCAAGTTCTTCGTTTGTTTTGTTTATGTTATTATCAGGTTCAGCTTCGTCTTTATTTTTAATAGTATCCTCTACATCATTTGTAGTTATACTTGATACAGGTTGTTCTTTGTTTTCCTCGTCCGGCTTTTCAGTTGCAACTACAGTCTCTACATGTTGGCTATTGCGGCGAACAGGGGTTCGACCATACAAACAGTCCAAACACATTGAATGAAGACATGGTAAAAGTTTCAACGGTTTCTCGGGAGATGTAAACTTAGATCCACACTTCACACAACGATTAATCATATTATTTAAATCCCACATTGTGAAACTACACACGATGTAATTACAACTACGTGAAATTTCGAAAAAGAAAATGTATTAGCGATTCACCATTCCGCCATGCTAATACACTAAATTTATATTTCCGTCCTACTTTCGATCTTACAAACACATATCTGCTCTCCGATTGGTTAGTTATATTTGCACTCCATAATTTTTGCCGGTGCCAGGTATGTTATAATCCTCGAGTTTGCAAGGGGAAAATAAAATGCATATAGCTAGCTTTAATACACTTGACACAAGCAAAAGCGAAAAGTCACAATATACGAATCAGCAGACGAACTCATTGGTGGGTTATGCAGCCCGCACTGAGCGAAAAAAAGATGAGAGCTCGCGCAGCGAGAACCCAGTCGACGAATAATAAAAACCTTGATTGATCTCACTGAATACTTGAAGCTGTCAAGTTGGTGAGAACCGGTCTAGGGCAGCTGAAACTGGTTCGAAGCGGTATTGGTGAAGTTTTCCACTAGCTGAAACTACCTTGACCGCTGCAAAGAAACTTTAGGTGCGGCTTTCGGAATGATTGGCACAAATCCAATTATTTTCTAGGCCTACGTGCGGATGTGACGTTATGTATGGGATCCATTAACTACTACGGTGTGGGGGTGGGTGTATATCCGTTGGCTCATTTCCAACTATTACTAATGGTCTATTTACCACCGCGCATTACTGGTTTATTCTAGTTTAGGTCACGGCAAGCAGAGATAAGGTCACGATTAGATTATACTAGCGATAGCAATTTCGTTGCGTGGTTTAGATATTTTCTCATGAAGTCTACTTGACATTTACAAAGAGCACTCATCCTGCTTCCAAATTGAGTAAAATTGACATTTGTCTTAAAGTATTTATCTGCTCCATTTTACCAATTGATGTAGAAATCTAGTGCCTATATGATTTTTTTTAACGATTGAACTTAAGGATGCCATTAAATGCTAAAAATTGGGAGGCAATTTACTGAATGTGGAATTTTAAATAAAGATATTGATTCATATTTAAAATTGACTAGATCTATATATTTTTAAAATGTGGGCTATACTCCTTTCAATTTTTTTTTTCATCACGATTCACGCGTAAATAACGTAATTTTAAAAGGAAGACTTACTCTTTTGCAATAAACATTAAGGTTTGTTTCGAAAAAGAAACCTAGATTATTTGGTACATTTATTTTTCCTTTGATTATTTTTACATTAGTGAAGAGCAAGCACATAAGCTCACCTCTTCTTCTTCGTTTATGCAGTCTGTAAAAGTAGAAGTGTTTATTCAAAAGCTTCAGTCACATTTTAAGTGTGTTGTACAGGTGATGTTTTAATTCTAAACAATCATTTGAATAGAAATGTAATAATAAATCTGCATTATGCGCAGTGTTTCTTCCAGACTTTTTTCTCAGGGGGTGGGGGGACGACACTGTTAAAAGTATATATTTTTCTATATAACTTCCATTTCGTTCGGGGCGGCAGTAGACTTTCTTCGCCCCCCCCCCCCCAGAAGAGATGCATGGAAGAAACTCTGATTATGTGTGGGCATACCCTTATCATTGATATGTGGTGATGTTATAAAGAGATGTTTATGTTGCTTTTTTGTTTTCTAAAAACAAAAAAAAAAACATTTGAAAATTTGTGAACTTCATTAATGAAGCGTGATAAGAAAAAACGAATTTCCTTATAGATTATTCAGTCTACATGCGTATTGATATATCAATAATTATTTTGCCATCTAGAATGGGATAACAATCAGAGTTTCTTCCAGGCATCTCTTCGGGGGGGGGGGGCTTTGCCCCCCCCCCCCCCCGAAAATTTTTTACCGCCCCCCCCCCCCCCCGAACGAAATGAAATTTATATAATTTATATAGAAAATATATACTTTTAACAGTGTCCGCCCCCCCCCCCCGAAGAAAGTTTACCGCCCCCCCCCCCCCGAAGATTTCAAGTGCCCCCCCCCCCCCGGAGAAAAAAGTCTGGAAGAAACACTGATAACAATGTTTCCCTAGTGATGTAATTATATGTACACTTATCCTTAACAAAATACGTATTCTATTTATTGCTGATGTAAGAATAATGGATTAACGATTAGCATCAACGTAGTTTGATTCGTCAGTGCTGGCATAATTGAGCATCAATTTTCTCTGTAAATGTTATACGTAGACCGCGGGCATAATGCCACGTCACGCGGTGAGTATATGTGACCGGAGTATAGACAATGGCGTGGCATTATGCGGCCATTATCGTGACACGTCTCGCTCCAGACGAATCTAGGAGTGACGTTGATCGTACTCGCGTTGTCTTTTTTTCTCCCCTCCCTCATCCTCAAGACAGATAACTAGCACGTCCCCGAGTGTCAGAAATGATTGGTGCAATTCATCAAACATGATGTATGAAAACGCATTGGCTCTTTACGCTGAGAGATTTACATGCTCGTTGTTTTTTGTTTTTTTTTTGTCAAGAGAAGGACCTTTCTGATCTTAGTATGGCTTTAGGCATGTGGTCATTCCAACTAGTTTTAGTACTTTTACCAACGTTAATTGCAGCTCTAACACTACTCCTGCATACGCTGCTGAACAGCCATATTTTGACATGAAGTCTCATTACTATTAGTAGGCCCTATATCTTTTTCTTTTTTAAATGTAGTGATTTATTTGGTATTCCATACATGTCATATTGAAATTTTTTTTAAAGCTTTGAAAGGGTATCACAATTATTGGTCCGTTTACACTGTCGCCCTATAGACCAACATAAATGTCAAAGTCTATCAGTACTATTGGTCCAAGTTTACACTGGCGCCCTATAGATTTTATATATACCAACATGACATTGAAAGCATCGCTTTTATTGGCCCTATAGACCAACATTGCTTTTTATCGTGTGTTTTTTTTTAATATGATCCCCGTCTGCGTAATGCTTGAAATCTCTATGTAGTTGAAAAATACATATCCTTGCAGGCTGTGTGTATATATTCATATTACATTCACCATTAGCATAGAGCTATTGATTATGGATATCACTCTTTAATCGTAAAATGCTGAATATTTTTAATGAAACTGTATGATATTAACCACATTGACTACTCTTGGGATATTTATACGCATATTAATAAAACGTATAGCATGTTAGGTTTGCAAGTCTATTTATAGAACATTACCACTTTAGTAAAGACCAATAGACGTAATTTTAAGAAATTTACTATTGAGAAAAGGCATTGGTAGAAGCATGATACAACCTTTAAAAATTAACATCACTATATCAATTAAAGTACAAATTAAATACTGATTTTATTTATTTTATTTTATTTTTTCATTTTTTTTTTTTTACATCCAGAGCTATGTTCAAACTTTGCTGTGCAAGTTCTCGTGAGCAATATGGCCAAATGACACATATTTGCGCATAGGACCCTTATGCTCACATTTTGGACTTGGCATATGTTTGCTTTAGCACTTGGCACATCTTTCAATATCTGTAGGCTTTGTCATATCCGCTTACATGAACTGTATACTCGATCATATCTAGCAAGATGGGAATATCTGTAGGCTTTGTCATATCTGCTTACTCGAACATATACCAGTGGCGGAACTAGAAAAAAGGGGCCACCCCGCAAAATATTTTTTGAGGCCCCAACTATATATATATATATATATATATATATATATATATATATATATATATATATATATATATATATATATATATATATATATATATATATATATTCTGTGACCTCGGCATATGAAGAGATAGTGTGGTCAGCACTATGCCCAGCCGCCTTTACTTTCCCTAACGTGAGTTAGGTACCCATCAGAGTTGGGTGGACTCAGGGACGGTCTACTGACTTGAACCCGGATTCGAACTCGAGATTAACGGGTTAGCAGCCCAGCTCTCTACCGCTAGTCCACTCCGTCCCGTATATATATATATATATATATATATATATTGTTACGTACCCCCTTCTCTAATCCTTTCGAACTAGTCAGGGGATCGTAAACAAGAAGAAGAAAAATAAAAATAAATAAAAGCCAACTTCAGTAATCTCTATTTATTCGCCACAAAATACAACATCTAACATTAACCCGCCACCACATGGAACACAAGAAGAAAAATACACAACTATCTAAAACAACTATAGTCCTTAATTCGACTGCCCTACTTGTCCCTAACTGTCAAGCCTAGCCTAAGTCTAATGCATGTCGTGGCTTTCCACTAGCTCACAGAGACGACCCCATGTCTGTCTCCCCTAAACCTAGCTATCCGAGACGTCCGTCCGTCTCCGTGTGTGTGTCCCGAGTGTCTGTCCAGAGTGTCCCCCTAGTCTGCTGTCTACCCTCCTAAAGTACTCGTCCCCCGTTCTACACCGTGGGAACGATTTTAATTAAGGCCTGACCCTAGGTCATATCCGTCCATGACGGTCCCCTCGGCCCTATCCGACCTCGAAGGTTTTCCCAGCCGTAAATCACGAGTTCTTGGCCACGTCGTTAATAGCTAGGACCCCAAGACACCAGGTAAGCCCCGCCCACATGCGTGGAATCGGATCCGTGGTGGCCATCAAGACCCCCAGTCTCTCACGGCCTATGCTGGCCAGTGCATTAACATGCCTAAGCATTTCATTTTAATTACCTGGCCCTCCTCGATGGGACCAAACCCAGGTAAGGATCACTTGGGGTCGTAACACCACCCCCCTTCAAGAAATTAATTCGCCACTTGGTGAATTAATTGAACATCTTACAATTCCTCAAAAGTCCCAGAAAAACCCTAAATAGGACTACATCAATTTAACATCATCGTAATTAAAAAGATAAGAAAAGTGGATGATTTAGTCACAATAACAAGTTTGACTAAATACACCAAACACAATGTCATCAAACATAGACATCAAAGTAAATAAAACCGCAAATCTGCAACACATATGTCACTGTCGCACATAATCTCAATGTTGAAACCAACAGTCTTCGTTTTACTGATAGTTACGTCATCAGTCAACAAAACCTGTCAATACAATTAAAAACTGTCACGAATTCAACATCATGTAAAACATCAATAACACATTTTTTTTTTCAAACAAGACATGTAAAAGGTACATTCTTTAAGCCTGAAAACAGTTCATTTTGATTAGGACACTTGCGTCCTGGGAAAACATGAAACAGTCTATCTTGGGAACAGTTCTAATAGGTTTGAAACACAAATTAGTTTTCCGTCTTTCGGGTCATCATGAGTCCGTAAACATAAAACTTAAGCCGAACTTTATACCGGCGCGGCACAATTTTAGAAACAGAAGTATTGTCCGTCCACACCAATAACGACTCGCACATAAGGCGTGGCTTCACAGGACAGCTTGCACTAATGCCATGTTTTGACTCGATGTTAATCCTGAACATCGAGGCACACAAAGAGGGAACGACTACACGCCCCGTCTCCGTGAAAGCAATGGGGTGTGCGCTCGCTTGTACGCACCCTCGGTTGAGAGAAGTAGCGTGACCCGCTGAGGTCACC